AATGGATGGCTTCAAAAAACGTCGAGATTATCGTAGGTGAACCAGGAAACCACCGATCGCAGGGTATCGTAGAAAGATTTAATCGAACGCTAGCCGAGAGACTGTTTGGTCATCAGTACGCTCAAGAAATGTTAAATCCTGAGAGTAGAAACACGCAATGGGTCGAGCGATTACCCAGCGTGATCAAAGCTATAAACGATGAAACGACGAGATTAATAGCTAAAGCACCGTCAGAGGCGGTTAAACTTGAACAGGTCCGGCAATCGCCGGCTAACCCCGTTAAAACAAAAGAGCAACAATTACCGCAAGATGCTATGGTTAGATATTTATATTACCCGGGCGAGCAAGAGGGTGGAACCTCGAGAAGAGCCACGGACCCCATTTGGAGCGTAGAAATTAATAATGTGGAAAAAAGAACGAGTCAATTTAAAATGATTAACGGTAAAAAAGTCACGACGGGTCCTACTCTTTATTACCTTCAAAACGGTCCAAAAAGGAGTTTTGTGAGACAAGAGCTTCAAGTCGTACCTGAGGACACACAATTACCGCCTAATTAATATCTAGATTACGGTGACCATAAGCGAGCGTGTGTATTCCATCCGGTAAAATGTACCTCTTGGTATCCAACGGACTCAACGACAATTTATCTAGCGATATGGTGTAAAGGATGTGTTTTTCAGATCGAATTTGAGTCATCGTTTCTGTTTTAGATTTATTTTTAAAGATGCAGTCGTAGTAGTGCCGGTGTTTTAATTTTTTGTCAGTGACCGATTTTGTGACCCCCTTGGCTTTTTTAAGAGTGATGTTGTTGTCATCCGCTAAAATCGAATACATTTTAGGTCTTACACAAACTGCTTCTTGAATGACCTTACCTCCAAACTCGTCTTTAAATTTACCGATCACTTTCTTATTGGTTGGATTGTACAAAGGATGATCTGTTGGGTAATTTGAAAAGTCGTAGTGTTGCCCGTGAGATTGTATGTCTTCGTATATGTCATCCGTGTAAACGACAATCAACAGACTGTCCGTATCAGTATACATCAACCTGATTTGATCTCCGTACTTGTCTTTCAATCGATTGTAATAAAAATCGTACATAAGCGTCTTTGAGAGATCTAAGATACTCACTCCGCAGTAGATTGGTTTGTTTAACAAGGTTTTAGTCTTGTACGTTTCGACAAACGACAGGTCACATTCTGGAAATGGCGTTGTTGTTTTATAGCTCGGTTTTTGAATTATTTTTTTGTATTTTTCTTGATCGCTCTCGTTATTATCTCTCAGTAGGTAACCATCTATTCGGTTTCTAACGTTTTCCATCGTCTTACCAAACACGCTGTTATTCATCAGTTTAAAAAAGTCTTTCTCAAAATCAGAGGTCGCTTTGGTTCGGAGTTGTGTGTTTTTGTCGATGTAAGATTTCATCCAAGGCGCTTGTTTAAATTTTAACACGCGATGTACCTTTTTTAGTTTCAAACCAAGTTTGAGATACAATTGTAATGTGACGTAGTGCAACACGTATTTTTGTTTTGGATTGAGGGTACACGTTAATTTTTGTACGTCGCTACTAGGTTCGGTATCTAATAATTCGTTTTGATAATCAGACATCCACTCTTGGGGTATGATGATGTTTTCTGGTGCTAGGGGAAAATCGTTATGCTTGGTGTGTAGATCGTTCGGGTAATCGAGGTCTACTTCAAAAAAGTAACCGGTGTTGGACGTTTTCTTCAGCGTTAATATTCTTTCTTCGGTAAACGGTTTTGTAGACACCCATTTAAAATCGCTGTACGGTAGATATTGACTCATAGCCCAACCGTACAGATTGTTGGCATCCAGATAAGCGATATAACTCGAGGGTTTGTTTGAATCGTAGTCATCGAGATATTGATTATTGGCTTTGTGATGTCTCATTCCACCAACGCTCGATATGCCTCCTCGTTTTGCTTTTTCAAAAAATAAATGTTTGTCTACGTCTTGCAATAGTTCGAGTTTAACTTCCGAGTGTTTTAATAGAGCATCCCACGACAATCCGGGTGCGGTAAAATAATTGGCTGGATCTAGCCCGTAGTTTGTAATACACGTTCTTCTAAAGTTTTCAAATACGCCTGCAAGTAATAACGTATCGGTCGTCACGTACAAGTCGTGATATTCTCCTAGATTTTGTATATTAAACTCGTTCCACACGCGTTGAGCTCTGTCGTAGTCTTGTTGCGATATATGTTCGTCTTTTAGTCTGCTGTAAAACTTGCCGATGGGTGGTAGGCTGGTCTCTTGAAACTTATCAAACGAGTTCATATATTCGTAGGGATAAATTCCTTTTTGTAATAGCAAGTCAGAATGTTTAAAATGCTTTTTGAGTAGCTGAAACGACTCTTTTGGGCAAGCTTTCACTAATTTATCCAACGACGATGCCATAAAACTAAACGAGTCTAAAAATCGTAGATTTCCTATCGAGAACGAAATATACTTTTCTGAATTTTTAGCGATCACTTGTATTTCTGTTTGACTATCGTATTCTGTCATTCCCTGCATGATTAAATGCGCGTCGTAATTTTGTAAATTGTGAAAAAAGACCGGTATCGGTGTACAACCGGGTTTAATTTGTAGTTTGAGGTTACAATAGGCGTGTGCGGCACCTCTATATTTACCAGTGACGTGGCAGTGATCTCTCACCTTTCTAAATTTATTGATTCTCTTTTTACAGTCGAGACATTTAGACTCGGTAAATCCCTTACTGTTTTTGTACTGATATTCTTTCTTTTGTTTTATCGTTTTGGGTTCTCTGGGGTTCTGGCACTGACATTTGCTCGAATAATTGGTATAAATTGGTTTTTCGCAAATCCAACGTGTGTTTGTTTTATCGTGATGTTCTTTAGCTCGCTCGTTAAATTTCATGGGTTGGGGTTTTTCAAATAGACAATTAATATCGCTTTGTAATTGTAACAACGTCGTTATAAATCTAGTTGAAGCGTCTTTGCCTCTATAAGTCTCTTGATATACATTTTTACCGTCGCATCGGACGACAACTAGCGAATAACCGCTAGCTTTGTGAACGTTAATCTTTTTTGTGTTTGTCTCTTTATCTGTGGATGTTGTTGTTTGTAATATGGATTCAAAGTCGGCATAAATGACAAATGGTGCTTTTTGTTTGTGCCTATAGTTTTTAAATTCTAATATCGGTACGTCTCTCTCTTCACTTGGTTGCCCGTCTATGTATTTTGGTTTACCCAGAGGAAATACAATCTTTGATGGATGTGTATCTATACCCTTACAATCGGCGATATGTTTGTCTAATTTGTTTTGATTGGTAAAATGACAAAGACATCTTCGACAAAAATATTTCTTACATTTATGTTTCGTAACGTCGTATATCAACCTCGTAAAATCTTTTATCCAACAATAGTGATGCTTGTCACCTTTAGAAATCAAAAGCAGATCGATCTCTTTCCCCTTGTAGTTTTTAGACACGTATAATGGATATATCTCACCCTCATAACCATATACGTTTATCGATAAATTATTTTGTCTTTCTATCTTGGGTATCTGATCGAGTGGTGTTGGAAAGTCAACACCTTTAAAACTGAGTCCGTCGTCTTTGGTGTATACAACAGGTTCTTCTTTATGAATTTTATAATTAGGATTATTTCTTATTTGATTTTTTACTTTATCCGTATACAACTCAAGAGCAGCTCTCAAACACCATCTCAAACACTCGTCGTCTTTGTTTTTGATGTTGATCATCGCCTTCTTAATTTTAAGATATTCGGGTAGGTCTATGTAGGAACTACCTCTCACTGGATTATATCTGTTGATGTTGATGTATAACACCATTATCTTTTTTAAAACCCAACCCGATCCTTGATTTGTATACCTTTCATCCTTTTTAAATAGCTCGTCGATCTCTTCTCTTAAAACCTGTTTTATTTGACTTTGATTTAAAACAGCTTTCGGCTTGCTATAATGAATAGCTTCGATCGTTTCGATCGTACCATCCGTTTTGGTTTTTTCGTATTTTATTTTGATTGTGAGATCCATTTTTAAACCTCCCAACTCTCTCAATTCTAACTTGATTTTATTGACTATTTGTTCCTTGTGTGAATCAAAAAACTTGATTAAATCGTGGTTATAAAGTCTGGGGTTTAATTCCCAGTTTCTGTAGTAATTTCTAAACCTTCTCGTTTCTCTAAAATCTGACTCTGTAAAGTATTCGGGTTGTCTGTATGTTTTAATCGTTGAGATTAAATCTTTTTTCAAAACTCGTCCTTTATAACCCGTCGGTACGTATTCTAGATTGTGTTCGTCTACAATCTGTTTGAGCTCATAAAGTTTCTTTTTCCTCAAGTTTTTAAATTGACTTTCATAATGTTTTATCCCCTCGATGTAAACTTTACGAGTAAGAGAAACATTTTCATTGTGTGGTATACTATACCGCTGCACGTAATCACGCAGCGTGGCTTTGTTCCATTTAGAATATCCTTTGATGGTCGGTCTAAACATATTACCCTCCATTTATTATAGGAAATATAATATTTTTTCTTTTTTTTTTTTGAGGTTAGACTTTTAGATTTATAAATAATTAGACTCCCCTCATTTTAGCGACGACAGATTTTTATTTTTTTTTTTCTCTCTCTCTCCCGGCGTCAGATATTTTTTTATTTTTTTTTTTTTTTTCCCAGCGTCAGATATTTTTTTTTTTTTCTCTCTCTCTCTCGGCGTCAGATTTTTTTTTTTTTTTTTCTCCCAGCGTCAGATATTTTTTTTTTTCTCTCTCTCTCTCTTTCTCTCTCTCCCGACGTCAGATTTTTTTTTTTTTTTTTTTTCTTGAGATCGGGGGATTTCCCATTGGCCCTGTACTACCCACAGACCTATGATAAAGTCTGGTACCCTGACTTCTCATTAATGGCCCTGTACTACCCACAGACCTATGACAAAGTCCAGCACCCCCGCCTCCCTTACTACTGAGGGGCATTCAATTTTACTGAAGTTACATCTTCTTTGCTTACTTGTACTTCTTGGCCATATTCTGAGCCAATGTGTGTGCCGCTGGGTCCCTGTCCAGCGCATACACCTGTGCGGTAGCAGCACCATGATTCAAGAGTGCCCTCGTGTGACCACCTGCTCCAAAGGTCATATCAACGAAGATCTGCAAAAACAAATCGTACAAATGGTCTCCATAGCATTAACATCATCAAAACAAACCTTTTCTCTTTTCTTACCAAGTTATATTTTACCGTCTGAAATACTAAATTCTACAGCAATAAAATGGAAAAACTTTACCATGGCAAAAAAGGATAGGTAAGAAGTTTTGCAGTGACAAACTTCCAAACTAAGGTCAAAACTAATGCAGCATGGCAAAATTCAATATTGACAGTGACGGGCGTGGATCACTTTGGTGCAATTTGGAAGGGGCAAGGAAGATTTTCTGACCAACTTGTAGTTCACGTCAAAGCAGAATAATGCCAAGGGTGCAGATTTAATACTACCGTGAGAAAATACAATCTGGCACTAAGGCCAAGTAAAAAAAATAAACCAAATTCATACATGTGCAATATATTTTGCATATATACATTGTCAACAAGTTGTCTTTTTATTTGTTTTCAAAAAATTGTAGCCATGTAGATATATTTCTATCTCAGCAAAAGAGTTTAAAAAAAATGGAAGAATCAATCCGCTATCTTGCAATTGGAACATTTGTCATCTTGGGGGGGAAAAAAGCATGCTGCGTCCTTTTTTTTTTAAATCCCGGACACGAAACTGGGCTTTTTTTTACTTGGCCTAAACCGACCAATGAAATTGAGATATTATGATAGTACCTGTTGATCTTGAGGTGATAATGCCTCTATGACCTCTTCTTTCATAACAGGAATGTGACTGGTGCTACTATCATCATCTTCATCATTTTGGTCGTCTTGGAATTCCAGGCTTCCTGGGTAAAATTGAAAAAATTAAAATGGAAACTTGAGAGGTATTTAACCAATCCAAAATCCAAGGATCATTTGCATTTATCCTAAAAGTAACCTAGCAAATTATTATAAAAAAAGCTTACTTGGTTTAAAGATCGTACTGGTACTAAACATCCGGTGAAATTATTCTGTCTGGCTTGCTGTCGTTTAGAAGAATCAAGAATAGGCCTATAGGTGATTTCCAACGATGGGACTGATGATTTAAAATAAAGAGAGCTATTCGGGATGGACGACATCGTGTTTCATGATCAAAAGGTTGTGCAAGGTTTTTCACTGTTTCTTCAGTCGAGAAGTGTAATATTCACTGAGGTGAAAATTCAACTGATAATGTTTTGAACATTCTTCTTTTGGATTTTGAGTGGTGTTACTGGAAACCAACAAAATGCAGGAAACAAAAATGATCCTGTATGACTATGCTTTGAAAGATGCTTGCTGAAAGTTTTGCACTTTTAATTGTGACCTTAATGAAGGCCAATGAAAGCCCTTTAATGTTACTTATCCACAAGAAATTGCTTTTTTTTAAAGTCTATTTGGAAATAGTTCCATACCTGGACATACCGGTATCACTTGTCACCCTGTGCACTAACCCTATGAGACTGGTCTGAAAAATTCCAAGTGTTTTCTCAGTAAATGATTCAATATTTTCCCTGCTAAATTTGACTTTTTAGGACATGTTGTCGCTTACTGATGGCTGATAGGTCACTGCAGGGAAAAATTGGTCATGTCCATGTATGGAATTCTTCCTGACTTTTTTTCCCCCAATTCTATCAAATTGAGGAGTTAAGTTTTGATTTCTCTGTTACTACTGCAAAGGACTTGCACCAAGCTAAAATGGCAGATACACGTATCATGAAAAAGTCACAATTTGTTTTTCAAAAAGTGTCAGCAAAAATTATGATTAATGAATTTAACTGCTGCAAACTGCTTACTGACTGAATTAACCTATCACGGTAAAAACGCAGCTTGTGAAATATTGAAACGCACAAAATCTGAGACAAACAAAACTTAACGTACAAAATTCCATAGGGTTGTCTAAGGGGAGTGGCCACCTCGCAAACGGTGATCGGTCAATTGACCTGAATTATATATATAAATAAAAAAATTGAGGGCTTAACATTTTGATCCTTGCAGGACTTTTCTCAAAGGCAAAAATTATTATCTTTTTAATTAGCCAAACAGAAAAGGGTTTTGGCAAAGGAGATGATGAATCTAAGGTGTATGAAAGTTTCCATCCACCAATTCTTATTTTTATTTTTTTTAAAATCATGTCAAACAATTAAGACAACAATTCCGGTAGGAATATCCCATACCAGTTCTTCTAGTGCCTCTCGGATGTAACAATGCTGCAGCGAGAGACAAGGATCTCCTTCCCAGAAGCAAGGGTGCCACTGGCACTGACAGTACAGGATGTCGAAGAAGCTTCTTTGTCATTCTGGTGACCCAAGATGGCCGGATTTGAAGACACGGAGATGATGACCGAAGAACATCAATGAATTTAAGTCTGTTGGCAAAATCTGAAAATGTCAGTTGGCTAGTCATGCTGGTTCAGACATTTAGATAGAAGAGGCTTAAGTATCACCAATGCCTCTGAGTCTGAGATAAGGTAAACTTGCTAACATTCATTCAACAAAACACTACATGCATGTTGGGTTTTTTTTTGCCAACACACTACCGGTACAAATTACAATAGTCCGAGTAACTACATTGTACAGTGTAGGACTCTACAAATTGCCCTGTGCATGGCTCCTGCTGGACTGTTTCCTGGGCCCCCCCAAAAATATTGGAGTCAGAAGGACAATAGGAACAGGGAACCAGACTAGCTCATGGCTAGCATCAGATAGACCAATCACAGGGCGCTTCGATTTGTCACCTGGATTGGTCGCCTCAATGGGCCAATCACATGGTGTCTCTTGTGAGCGGTTTCACGGCGACCAATTAAAGTGCCCTGTGATTGGTCTGTCTGATGCTAGCCAGGAAACAGTCTAGCCAGGGGCCATGCACAAGTAAATTTTTCCTGAATTCAAAATGCCTTCTTTTTTCTAAAAAAGGGCAAGATTACCATATGCGAAGTTCACTAATTTTCCTCTGTATTGACTAACAAGCCCCCAGATAGCAATTTCATGTCATCAAAGTCAATTTGACTATTTTTGAGCAGTGAGAAAATATTACAAGCATTTTCTTAGAAAACATTCGAATGTTTCAGTCCACTCTCATAGGGTTTGTACACAGAGTGTTGAGTGAACTTCGTATACGGAAATCTTTCCTAAAAAAGTTCTAATTTTATTTTAGTACTTCAAGACTAGGCCTATAACTTATAACCTCATTCTCAAACAAATAATAAAAAATAGTGTGAAGTCAATTTTAATGATTACTTGAATGGCAAATTATACAGGGCAGGGGTAACAGAAACACAAACAATGTCACACTTTTGGAACCCAAATTTATGGAATATGACACATGATCAGGATGATGATTCATGGGCATTGTGATCAAGACAAGCTGACAAGTGTCACAGAGTCATGAGGGTGTGTACTCCAACTATGAGGCTAGTGTGCTTGTCGTCTGCACTTCTCAGTTCTCTACTCTAGTTTTGTCCTAAAACAATCCTTAAATTTAAAATTAAAAGCATTATCACTCGAGTTTATCAATGTAATATTAAGTAATGTAGCATGACCTCTTCCCTTGCAATACTTACAGTTACAATACAATGTCCTCTTTAACAGTTAAAAAAAGGAAATATTCATTGCCGTTTTACATTTCACCAACCAGGCAACAGTGATTCAACACTCATGAATTGACCGATTTTACCGATAGAGGGCGCACTTCCACATTACCGTCGTGCGATTCTTTTAAAAGATTTTTGTAAGCGTTTGGCGCTCCATACTAGAACGGTCTGACAGCTTAACCAATCAACAACGACTTATATTTTTACTGACCAATCAGCTCTCAGCGCACGGCGGCAGTTTTCGAATGAATGAATGCTGAGTAGTAGAGGGTATTTAAATCGGACAGATCGCTTCTTCTGCGAATGGATTGTTGCAAAGAGAAATAAATACTGATTTCTGTCATCGATATTGGAAGATCAAGAAAGAAGGTAAGATTTTATAGCTCCTTGAATGTATTTTTCCCTTGGATATTTTGTAAACGATCATGATTTTTTAGGTTGTAATAAAATATCGTAAAAATCGGCCGTCGTTCTCGTTTGCATGCATTTCTCGCATTGACCAGTTGCAATATAAACTGTACATACGTAACGTCACTGACTGTAATTGTTTAACTGTTGATTTGTTGATCATGTTGATTGCACTGCGAATGTGATGATCGGGTGAATAAAATACCTTAAACTTGAGACTGAGTGAAGACTTCTTATTTTTTTTTCACAAATTGTAGGGCCTAGCCAACATAATTTTGTGTGTGTTTGTTTGGGCTTTGGGGGGTTTTTTTTATTGTTTTTTTTTTCTTTCTTTTTTCGGGCATGCCGGGGGGGGGGGGGGGGGCTGGGTGGCCGGGACGGATTTTTTTCTCCCAAACGACATCCGCATACCTACACGATATGGCGTTTTAGACTTAACTTTTTTAAACAAAATGAAATTAAAGAAAATATAAAATTAGAAGAAAAAAATGAATTCAAACATTTTGAAATTCGGACTTTATTTCCCTTAAAAAAAAAATCCTCCGAAGCCGCAAGTTAGAAAAGACACAAAATTTGAATGCAAAACCGTGTTTCAAACTCGCAACCTTGCGGCGCAAATTCATGACCCTGTATCGACTGAGCTATCGCAGTGGCGCTCACCAAATAGTGGGGAACAAATAGTTACATACAATGTACCTGCCTACGTATCATAAAAGTATCTTAGAGGGCGCTAAATAACCATGTATGTGGATGTCGTTCGACCCGGGGGGGGGGGGGGGGGGGAGGGGAGGTTGTTAGACGTATTCAAGTTGTTTTTTGTATCATTTTTTGTACAGAAATCAGGTTGTACCTCTGGAGAGAATACAGTGCAGCAATACCGCGGCCACACCGGTGGGACTATTATTAACATTACATTAAAATATACACATATGTTAGGGTGGGCCTAACAAAACTAATTAATTTAGCCTATATTTGTCTTTTTAATAACATGTCTAATGCTCTCTCACAGGTTGAAGATCAAAAAACTGCAATCAATTGTTTGACAAGTTCTGCTAAATGTAGCAAAGCCTAGGACGATGCCGTCATCTCACCGTCGCAGAAACAGCCGTGGTCATGGTGGTGGGCCACAGAACAACAATCACTCCGTGGTCCGCCATGCGTCAGGCAACGGCAATGACGACTCCACCAAAAACGGCAACATTCGAGTAGTGGTCCGGATCCGGCCACCCAATGCAGCCGAGCTGGCGGCAGGGTCCGCGTCCAGACAAGTGGTCCAGATGCTTGATGACAGAGTCTTGGTCTTTGATCCAAAGGTATAATTTAAAGGCCTTTGGTCAAGCCTAGGATTCGTCATGGCTTCGGCTCCATCTTCCTGTCCCAAACTTTGGAGTTGGTGGCATAATGTGAATCAAGTTTTCTGCTACATGTTTATTATATAGCACATCAGATCCCAGACTGGGGGCTTGAGTGCAGAAAAAACATGCAAAACAAATGCAAGCCAACATTACTCCCTTTACATGTAGTTGACAAAATTCTCCAAAATTTTCATGAGGCAGAGAAAATGTCCTCTGCATTTCAAAAGCCAAGTTTTAGGTCTGAATTCAATTTTTAAAGGAGACTTTTCTTCAACATTTTGCGCCTACAATTAAGCCAAGTGATTTCAATTTAAAAATGAAGACTATAGTATTATAGACTGGTTCATGTCCAACTTTTTGATTAATTTTTTGTTGAATTTTTTGTTTTAAGTTGAAGTTATTTATCACACATTTTGACTATTCCATTCGCAGGAAGAAGCAGCCCCGAGCTACTTCCACGGTCGGCGAGTGGCCAGGCGCAACTTCATGCAGCGTAAGAACAAGGACGTCAAGTTTGCGTTTGATCACGTCTTTGGGGAGAGAGTTACGCAACAGTTCGTCTACGAGAACACGACCAAGAAAATAGTGGAGAGCGTACTAGCTGGGTACAACACTAGTGGTAAGTCAAAGTAGAAGTTGTATGTTAAATTTGAAGTGATTTCTGTTCACTGTGCAGAATCACTAGATAGGCTCTGTAAAACAAAACAAGGACAGAATACAAGATTAAACATGCAGTAAGCTGGTTGAACCGCGAGGTACCTCATAGAACCTCAGAAAACCTCGACATAAACCTCCGTTGAATCTTGCATTCGCACCGAACTTTCTGGCTGTCTCATCATATGCAACCAGTCACCACTGCAGTTCCACAGGCTAGGACTGTTACTGTCAATATTAAGGGGTACTTTTTTTTCATTTACACCGGTGAGGGCGCTTTTGTCTAATTCGCTTTTCAGTGTTTGCCCACAGAGCCACAGGGGCAGTCAAAACCTTCAAAATGTTCGACACGATTTCCATTACAAAAAAGTTGAACCAAAAAACGGATATACGGCAACTTGCATGAGGCAATGGTGCCCACTGGTCCTTCAATATCATCATCCTTTCTCATTTCCACCATTGATGGCGCACTTTGTCTAATTCGTTTTGCAGTATTCGCCTACGGAGCGACTGGGGCAGGCAAGACCTTCACGATGCTCGGCGCGCCGGACTGCCCAGGAGTCATCTTCCTGACGATGGTTGACCTCTACCGACGGATCGGAGAAATCGCTAAAGACAAGCTGTGTGATGTTGCCGTGTCGTACCTCGAGGTACTGTCAATAATAATATTTCTGGGGTGATAGCTGAATTTACACAAATATAATTCTAAGATTTGGATAATACACGAATATTGACTGCTTCGAATATTTGACTGCTTCCAGAGGTGATCCATGGAGCATCCTGTTTAAACCCAAGGGGTAGCCGAGGGAAATGGAATGCACCATGGATCACCAAGGAAGTCCAGTTTTACCATGCCATGAGTTTAAAGCAGTCAATTCTTGTTTTAATATTTTTATGCAACACCTGAATAAATCCCTGTCATCTGATTGGTGGATCGTTGATCACATGTCATTGAATTATTCGTCCCAACGCACCATTCGTCCCAGCGCAGCGCACAGTGCAATGGAAGTTCTATTGCACGGTGAATAGAACTTCCATTGCACGGTGTCACTGCTGCTGGTGGTGGCGCTGTTTTAAATCGAGATAAATTGAATTTGATGGTTCTCAACCTGTTGAACAGTTTGCATGAATTAAATATGATGAACTTGTCGAACTTTCAAACAGTTTTTAACCTGAATAAATTGGCTATTAAAAGTCAACCAATTAGATGACAAGGATTTATTCAAGTGTTATATAAAACAAATAATGAATGTTTCACGTTCGTGCAATGGAAAAGATAATTTCATTCGGTGACAGATGAAATGTTCCATTCCACTCGGCTTCGCCTCGTGGAATGAAACATTTCATCTATTACCTCATGAAATTATTCTTACCACTGCACTCACAAATATTCATTATTTCTATAATAATGCCTCACCCACAGATTCTGCTTGATTTTAAAAGATAACTGATTAATTTAACCAAAATCCAATTAAAATGTAATTGTTTGTCAAAATGAAATTTACTTGCACTTTTCCAAAACTACCATTTTGTGAAATGTTTGAAACATATAGTGCTAAGGAGTAATACTTCTGCTATCTAATGATCATTATTAAAAGAAGAGTACGCTTTGTCCACTCGCACTTTATCTATGTATGAATTTAACCATGCATATCTTTACTAGCCTACCAAATTTTATAAAAATCATTCATTTGGTAAAAAGAGCAGTTTCAACTTCAGTATTAAAATTGATCAAACTCTTTTCTTTTCTTTTTTAAAGGTGTATAATGAGAACATTCGTGATCTGCTAGCCCCGTCCGGCATACTAGCCCTCAGGGAAGACCCACAGAAGGGAGTTGTGGTCAGCGGACTGACGCTACACAAGGTAAAATTTAACAAAAACCCTGGCCAACAAACTGTGGCTTCAAAGTTCTTGATGTAGTCCCTCACTTCTGAGACTTACTTTGGGCATGTTGGGTGCCTTTTTAATAGTCGTAGTGCTTAAACAGCGCTTTCCATCGTATCAACAATCTGAGAGCGCTTTACAAATATTTTTTTGGCTTCAAGATCATCACTTCCTGTAATACAATGGCAAAAGTTGGAGAAGTTTTATTTCAATCTATGAAAAATGTGCATTCTGTGCTAATTTTGAGTGTCACCCTCAAATTGTCTCTCTTTTGTTAACTTCTATTTTCTAGCAATGCTAAAAGTCAGCAACTTTTGAAGAAGATATTACAACCTAACCCCATAGGGCCTATTGCTAGGAACCATCGTCAATCCTCTAAAATCCTCCAAAATTGTACACTTCTGTTCAAATGAAGGACACCCAGCGCCTCAATCCTTCAAAATTGTCAGACAGTCCTGCCTCAAACAATGCAGTCATCCTCAATCCTCCAAAATCCTCCTCTTCTTCAAACACCATTCATCCTCAATCCTCCAAAATCAACCGGTATTGAATTTGCATTCATCCTCAATCCTCCAAAATTGTATGTTGCATTCGTCCTCAATCCTCCAAAATCCTCCTCTTCTTCAAACACCATTCATCCTCAATCCTCCTTAATCCTCACGTGCTAAAACATTGTCCTCAATCCTCCAAAATCATCATGTTTCTCAAACACCATTCATCCTCAATCCTCAAAAATTCTCCAAAACCGCCATGAGGATTGTGGAGGATTGAGGATCGAGTTGAGGATGGAGTTTTCACTAACTCCCAGGGTGTGTGAAAAATGATTTTTTTTTTTGTTATTTTTTTTTCAGCCAAGAAGTGCAGAGGAGTTACTTCGCATGCTGGAGTTTGGCAACGCTAATCGCACCCAACACCCCACAGATGCCAACGCACAGTCCTCAAGATCACATGCTGTTTTCCAGGTAATAATCTCCTGTCTTTGGACGATTCATACCTCCTTCAATGAAAAGGGAATTCATCGGGAAAACCGTGAATGTCCCATAACTTCCATTGTCAACTTTGTGGTATTTGCTTTTCACTTTCACATACCGGCCGCTTCTCTCCTCTCGTAATGCATCAAAGATCCGAATAATGTTGAGTCTTGTGTCGCATTGTTTTGTTCTCTTCAGGTTTTTGTGCGGCAGAAAGACCGCACGGCCAACATCAGCACCAACTTTCGCATCGCCAAGATGTCGCTGATCGACCTTGCCGGCTCGGAGCGGGCCACCGTCACCACCAATCGGGGCTCGCGCTTCCGCGAGGGCGCTAACATCAACCGCTCTCTCCTGGCGCTCGGCAACTGCATCAACGCGTTGGCAGACGGAAACAGGGTATGTTACACATTGCTGCTCTTTTTTTTTTCAATCTTTGCAGATCAGAAACATATCTTTTTTTTTAAATAGGAAGACCGATTTCTATCACACTATGTAATTTGAACACCTACCAATTGGCCATCAGAATATTTGTTCTTGTTTCTCCCTGTCAGTCCAAAGGCCAGCACATCCCGTACAGGAACAGCAAGCTCACTAGGCTGCTCAAAGACTCACTGGGAGGCAACTGTCAAACAGTCATGATCGCTGCGATCAGCCCGTCCAGCTTAAACTACGAGGACACGCTCAATACGCTCAAGTACGCCAACCGAGCCAAGAATATACAAACAAAGGTAAAGAGACTTGCTTTATGGAGTACATGTATGATTTGTTTAGTGCTGTGGTCCAGTGGTTACAGTGTTTGACTCATTTGTGATAGTACATGTATGTGGGTTCAAAACCTGATGGGGAAACATGGTGATTGTGTCCTTGGGCAAGACACTTTACTACAATTGCCTCTCTCCACCCAGGAGTATAAATGGGTACCTGTGAAGGTAGAGACCAGATTGCGCTGATGCTTGTGTTCTTGGGCAAGACACTTTACTACAATTACCTCTCTCCACCCAGGAATATAAATGGGTACCTGTGAGGGTAGACACCAGATTGCACTGATGCTTGTGTTCTTGGGCAAGACACTTTACTACAATTGCCTCTCTCCACCCAGGAGTATAAATGGGTACCTGTGAGGGTAGAGGCCAGGTTGCACTGATGCTTGTGTCCTTGGGCAAGACACTTTACTACAATTGCCTCTCTCCACCCAGGAGTATAAATGGGTACCTGTGAAGGTAGAGACCATTGATCGAGCTGCTGCAGAAATGTGGTCTCGTATGGCCTGATAAACAGGGGTAAAAATTCTGAATATCACCCAATTTCTGAACATTAATAACAAAAATTACTTCGATTAGAGTTTACGTTTTCTAACGTTTTTAAAATCTTATTTTTCTTTGTGTAGCTGAAACAGAATGTAGTGAATGTAGACTTGCACATCAGCCGCTACGCACAGATTGTGGAGGAACTGCGAGCCGAGGTAACTTAGAATCTGTATTTAAAAAAATATATTTAAAGGCAGACTCTACATTTTCAAAACCAAATAGGTCTGTAAGTAGACTACCGGTACGGTGTTCCAGAGGCTGCTGGTTCAAATCCTGCTCCAGTCAATGTCTTTGCTCATCCCAATACGTATGTCTGTGTTAGGGCTGGGACGATTACTCTGCTACTCCAGTAATCGATCGATGTATTAATTATTCGGTTACAAAAACCTCATAGCAAATCGCAAAGGTACAAAAAAAAGTGTGCTTGCTGACAAAGTATCGAAACTAATATTTTGAAAAGGGATTCGAATCTTTTGATGCCAATACCATTATTTATAATTAAAAATATTGTGAAATCATGATAGCTGGCCAAGATTTTCCTTAAAAAAAGGGTTTTAGTAGAGTACACAAACAAGAAACCACTATTTTAATTTGAAACCAATTTGGATTTACCTCTGAACCACTAAGCTGGCTTAATTTCCAGGACTTGGAAAAACTGAGAAATAAGTTGGGTTTTTGACAATTAAATTTTTGTTTTGTTATCATGACATTCCTCTATGCCTGTACTTTGTAGGTGTCTGAACTGAAGGGCAAGTTGCAGAGTTACGAGTCGGGCGTTGTGAAAGTGGATCGGTCAGTGCCCGCACCTGCTGACAATGAGGAACAAACTCACAGGTGAGGGGTACAGGACCACTGAATAAATTAATATGTATTTGACAGAGTCAGTGTGAGAGACACATATATACTGGTTCCAACACGCATAGCTTGGATTATATGCACAACGGATTTTTCAACGTCATCAGTGCAGGTTGCCAATGGCGTTCAATTTTCCATCATATTTTTGATCCGTCTTACCAATGGGGTTGTACTTGTGTATCAAAATCTATCAAATGTAATCTATCAAAAGAATGCTATGCGTACATGCCAAAATTATTAAAGGGAAAAATTCAAAATCATACACAATTTTTTTCAAACATTCAAGCAGAACCCAATTAAAAATGAAAGACCTTGTATTCACACAATCTACCGTCAAGGTTTATTTAACCAAAAAAACCCCAAAGATGTCTGTACATGTAAACATCTGCGGGACACTGGAAATATTTGCATTTGCTGTAATTTTCAGAAATTGATGTATCTAAGGGGTTAGTATTTTATAGCAAATATTGTTACACTGACTTGTATGAAGTTTTGTATTCGTAGATGCTGGGAAAACCACCAAAAAAAGATTTTCCAATGCTGGTCGGCCAACCAGTGTTGGAAATTGATACAAAAATCAAACTTATTTTGAAAATGACAGCACACGAGTTGCAACAATTTTAGAGGATGCATTAGACTTGTCATTCACTGGTATTTCATAATAATTTTGTAGTTTTGTTTTTTGATGTTTGCAAATGTTGTACAGTAAACTCCAGCTAAGTCGGCACTCTCGGGACCCGAGAATTTGTGACGACTTATGCGAATGGCGATATCTGCTGTAAGTCGTCATTTTGCCGACTTACATGAATGGCCTTTTGCACACATGCTTCATTGCACTAATTGACTTCGATTTACCCTGGTTTATCTCCTTAATGCTTGAGTTGAATCCAGCAAATTAATCCTCAAATTGTATCATCTTGTTTGGGGTATTGCTAGTGGAGACCACGATACATGTGTACGTGCACAGTAACAAATTAAATGCGTGCGTGGTCCGGTTTATGGTATATACCACGCACGCATTGACTGCAGCAGTAGTCATTCAATAAGACGACCCCCAAAATGGACAGAGCGCATGCGAACAGCCTAGAGGGGGTACTGGTATTGATATGCTCACGATGCATATATGCGATGTATGCAGTAGGACACCCTTTTTCGACACCGATGCATGCAGCGATCACAGGCCGTGCGAAACCACTTTTCACTCAACACTTTGCCAACCGCAGTACATAAATTCAATGCCAATGCGTGATTTGTTGAATGCCGACTTACACAAAGGATTTTGTAATGCTTTTTATGGAAAGGGGACCGAGAGTAACACGACGACTTGAGCGAAATGGCGACTTATAAAAGCCGACTTAGAAATAAAAATTTCAATGGAAATGTATTACGGACAATCGTGACTTTAGTCAGACGGCCGACTTGAGCGATTTGACGAGTTGTACGATGTCGGTTTAGCCGGAGTTTACTGTATATTCCCTTCCAACGGTGCATGAAAGTTAACATTGATTCCCATCTTTACTAAGACCAACTCAATATCTGTTCTACTGCCAGGCTACAGTTGGAGCTGCACAAAGTCTTCACGCAGCGAGGCAGTGTCCGCAAGGAGTTATTGGAGTTAGAATCCTCAGACCGACATCTGACGGTCATGATCAGCCGCAAGCAAGCCATGGCAGAGAGAATCAGGCTCATCTATGGAGAGTCTATGCAGGGTGATAAGGTATGGAGAGCCACAACAATCTTATTTCCAAATTCAACTTTATGTTGTTGGTTATGGTATTTGATTCTAACCCATAAGTACCTTATAACATTCAAACATCAATGGTTTGTGGATCCCATTCTGTTCCTTATAGTAACGTTCTGTTGTATTGAGCTTTTTCACAGCTTGTACAGGGTGAGTCAAACTGATCTGGACCCAAATTAAATAATTTATTAAAAACATGTAGCAATTATGAAAACAAGTGCAAATGAGATATGTTATAGGCTGGTATTTTGGACATATTTGGTAAAAGGTTCATGTATATCCATTGTACCATGTTTCACAAAAGCTTTAGCAAAGAACACACATTACAAACACTTTGACCACGGTTCCATGGTTCAACAAATTTGCGTACTGGTGTGAAGCAGTGAAATAATAGATCAAAACCTAGTCATGGTGACTGACTCACTAGAAGTTATTGACATATTTAAAAAAAAAAAAAAAAAAAAAGGCAAAACCAATTCCATCTACAGACTGGAAAATGCGCCACTTCAATGAAAATGGAAACTCCTCACCACAGCCACTAAAATTGAAAAATTCAAAATTCCTGTAGAAGACAAGGTAATAACCATTCATCTGAAATGCTCAGTTTTTTTCTAGATACATGTATATACTCTATTTGCCACCAAAAAAAATTGGTGAAACCTACCCTGTAGTGCCATAGACAAAACAGGTTTAAAAAGAACCACTTTGTTTTTCTTTCAGACAATGGGTCGTTTTGAGCGACACATCGCAGCGTCCAGCGCCCGGCAGGTGCGACTCCGAGATCGGAAACCGGCCGTGGAGGAACGCATCAGAACGAATGAGGAGTGGCTAGAGAAGGTGCAGGGTGAAATGAAGATTGATGGAGAGATGCCGGTGGTACGTTACACACATATAGGGAACAGTTTCACAGGAAAGAGTTGATTTGCAGAAACAGAACACCAGCCAAAATAATATGAGAAAAACAGGGTGGTTCCCAAAAAAAGTTCACTTTTTTAGACGCAGATTTCTCAAAATGGGGGAGACACGTTGAATTTGTTTAAAGGTATTCGTAAACTACAAGATCTTGGTTGTATATGGTGAAAACGGCTTTGAACATAAAGCCCCAATAAAGAAATGGCGGCCATTTACAGAAAAGCGGTCAAAAAAACAGTTTACCACACGCGTGTATGAGATATGGTCATCTTATTGCAGTTTTTTTGTGCACGCAGTGCCATTGTTTTGACCAAATGTCTCATAGATTTGTACTCGTCATGTATTGTTAAGCACCCGTCTTTAGATTTTGAGCACTTTTGCTGCTTCAAATGAAATAAAAGCACAAATGACAAATGGTCCATTCTACCTTTACAGCGGGCTAATACTTCATTTCAATTTCAAGTCGCAAATTCATTAGGGTCATGGCTAATGTCACAATAAAATGTCAATTGTTGACGTTATGAACTTCACTTCGTTCACGCTTTGAAGTGAAAAATGAACTGGCCTTTACACAGCCAAATCCTGCCTAAATTGTTTGGGTTAAAAATCTTGTTTGCTTTCTTTTTTTTGATAGGTATTTCAAGAGAGTCTTCGGACCAGACATCTAGAGATTGAGTTGAAGGATTGTCGTCGTCAGATCAAGCATCTGAAGAGATTTGCCAGGCAGCATGATAACCACCAACAGAGCTCAGAGAGGTATATACTCCATGGCCTTTTTCTCAAAATTATTTGGATTTTTTTTCTTCATTAGAGAGGTTAACTTATGAGGTTTCGCAATAAAGTGTTCACCTAGCTAGACCCTCGTTGTGTCATGGATATATGCGTTTGCAGCACATTTACAAGTGCTGGCTTGCGGTATGATATGCCAAACAAATTATTTGGACGTTCCTTGTAACGTGAAGGCAGGGCGGTATAAAACCTCTTCATTTCTTATGCATGCAAACATTTTAAAGATTGAAAAAGAAGTTTTATCAGAAGTCACTAATCTACCGTCATCATCAATAAACTTGAGAATATTATCTCAAGATACTTTTCAACTTTTAAAAAAGGTTTAGCGGACACAGATTCTATGAAATACCTGCTTATATATTCTTTTCCTTAATTGTACACAAACAGGACACGAAGCTTAAGTACACGTTTCTGTGCGCAACGTGAAAGCCCAATTAATAAGCTTTCTTTTAGTACAAGAATCATTTGAATCACTCATGTACTTTTCAAGTTACGGAATTTTGAACACAAACACCGTTTTAAAGTTCTGTCCACTGATCACAAAAAAGGCAAGTGTTCTTTCAGAAAAACGAAAACAATTCACATAGGGATGTACATTGTATGTGAATCGACGTCGTCGTGTCTACAAGTATGGAGTGCCATTCTACAGGTCCTTAAAAAAAATTGTAAAAGTGACCAATTGCAATTTCTCTTGTGCTAGGTTGATCTTAAACCTCCTTGCGACCGTCCGCAAACAGTTCTACCTTCTGAAGGGCTCGGGCTTAGCCACTTCAGACGTCGCGGTGGACTTTGAGTCCATCCAGAAACAGGTCGAGGGGGATCGGGAGGTAGCCTGGGCTGATCAGAACGGGTCAGAGGTCACAGGGTTGGAGGTGAAGCCTGGCGGGGCCACGGAGCCAGATCTGAACTATCTGCTGGAGTTGCCGGTCATGAAATGCGTGGATGTTACCCCGAAAGGTAATGTTTACAAGTACCGTATGATCAATGTTAACCACTCTGGTCTTTTCCCCCCTGACGAATTTGCAACTTCTATGCTTTGTTTTTAACTCAAAACTTTTTTGGTAGCTTTTGCGCACAAACACATCCGCCCTGCGAGTAGACTGGCGCATATCACTACATTATCAATGCTGACAGGGGAAGGAACAAGTCTGAAATTTGTACAGAAATTATTTGAAGACTTCACGTGGGTCTTTTTTTTATTCTGTCTCATTGCTAGAAAGAAAAAAAATAAAGATATTTTTGTGGGGGAAAATAGCTCGAACATCTCTTTAGAGTAGCTTTAATATTTGGGTGGGACTTGAATGCAAGACCTCTGGTTTTCTTGTTGAAAAAAACTCAAAGATTTGACCATTGTCAAACAAGAAAATAGTACAAATTTAGGAGTATTTTAACTGTCAATTAACACATGTACACTTGCTTTTTTAATACTGATTTAAGGAACAAAATCAATGTAATGTTGAAAGAGAAATACCTGTCGAAATTTCATTCATCTACACTTTTCAAGAAAAAGTACTTTCTGTGAGTTGCATGCTGACAAAACCTCTCCCCTTTTTACTACACCGTGAAAAGTTAAAAAAAAGCGGGCAATTTTGGACAACCCCTATATCATGTTCCAGTATTATCCTTACATCCAAAATTCCCCAAACAATCCATTCGCAATTTGTAATACTTTGTCTGTAATACATTTGTATTATAGCACCCTCAAGATCCCCGCAGAAGAAGCGGGGACGGAATTCGGCGCCGTGCACGCCTGCGAGAGTGCCGAGCACACCAGCGCAGAACCAAAGCTCTGTGCTCCTTGAACGAACGCAGACGCCGACACAATACAGCACACCGCAGGCGAGGAGAGGTATGGAGACATTTTTGAAGGAGAAAAACAACAATCTAAATTTTGGCAGTGCAAGGTTGATCAGCACTTTTATTGAGCCAATGACAAGTCGTGACATGTACATGTACTTGCTTTGTTTGCAGCATAGCATTAACTCTAGTCAGAGCCAAGGGTTTTGCTTAGTAACGATCAGTCGGATTCTGCCTCCGGTCGAGTATACCCCACTTACTGGTAAACAGATGGTGAAGGGGAAGAATTCGACCAGATAAGGAAAACCAGCACTGCCTAGTGTAACTGAGAGAGTGAGATCTTAACTGTTATTACTTATAACACGACCACGCACCGACGCACATACTTTGTATGCAGCATGTATTCAACCCTAGTCAGACCCAATTAAGGTTTGTGCTTAGCAAGTGGTTAGATTCTCCCCCCCCAGTCGAAAATACCCCCTCTTGCCCTACATGTGTATGTATAATTTTTTTTGCTTTGAACAGTTGTGCCCTGTGGAAGAGTAGCCGTTAGCACGCCCCCATCGCGTGTACGTGTCCTAACTCCAAAAGCAGCCACACCCTGCGCCGGGCGGAACACCGACATCAACGCCTTTCAGCCAATCGAAAATGGTAGAACTCCGCTGGGTGCGATTGTTTGCAACACCGGACTCGGGCACGGCATCCCACAATGCATCAATGAGACCGTTACCAAGGCAAAACCCGACCATCCCAATTGTCCGTCACAGCCAGTTGACGGGGAGGAGACAAAACGCAACCTTGCGGGAACTTTTGAAATGGAAGGCGTTTGCCCGTTGCAGTCCCCACAGCCAAGTTCGTCATCACAGCCCATTCGAACCGCAATAGCCAACACAGAAAATTCCCGTGCGACCAAAACTGACCAATCAGAAACGTCGTCCCTCAACGCCACATTTTCTGCAGAGAGCACAGAGTCGACGCATCGCAGTGTCGAGCAGGGCACCGAGAAACCGGTTGCCAGAACGATAAGCTTTGATCAGGAAAACTCTATGCCCAATCAGAAGATCAGCCCAGTCACAGGTAGGATATTTGCCTCCAACTTTGGAATGTTCTGAAGAACTACAGGTCTGATTGGGTTGAAACTAGGTATGTACCTAGACTGGGATATGTTTTAGATGAAAATTTAAGCGACATCACGATGACATCGTCACATGACATGTGACAGCCTTATATACAGAACTATTTCTCCGATTTGGTTGAAACTTGGTAAGTACCTGCACTGGGATGTACTGTTACAGATAAAAACTGAAGTGACATCATGATGATGTCCCAGCTCACATACATGTACCATGTGACGTCACATTAAAGGTTCGTTTTTAAAGGCCTACATCTACAGAACTATATGTGCAGTTTGTTTCTAAAGGTTCAATTTTCAAAGTCCCGTTTTATTTTAATGCCTTGGCTACTGACGCAACATTGATGTTGCAATTTCACAGTGTGCTATCTTCAGAACTATACACATCTGATCATTCTGCAACTTTCTACTGCACATGTCTGTCCTATCATAACATTCATGACATAAACATGCAATAACAAAATGCAGAAACAGCTGTACATTTGTCCACAGACACTAGTTTTTCCTTATTACTATTTCTGCTAATCTTTCTGACTTATTAAACTAAAATACATTTCGAGTTTACTTTCGTTTCGAATTGATGAACAAGTAATTCAAAAATTGTTCACAACTTTTAACCAAACTCAGTAGCACATGGGAACGTGCACATTAATGTTGGTTTCTACATGTACATACATGTATAGTACGTACTTGCCATAGCGAGGCTGTCGCTGTATATAGTCTCTTCGGCTGTGCAGTATAAAAAATAAAAAAAACATATCTTATACCGTGTGACTTTACCATTTGTTTCTGCAGGTCGCGTTATGTCGTACGCAGAAGTCTTGACGACTCCTCAGCGACTGGACACAAATGACCAACAGAGGGCTCCCCTCGCAGCCCTGACAAACAATTCCCCTCAGCTCCAAGACAGACCCGTCAAGGGGCAACAGCGGCTCAGCGTGTATGCAGGGAACCAGTGGAGGGGGAGCCAGCCGACATCCGGTACAACAAAAAGGTATTACCTAATTGACGTCATATTTGCTTCACATCTGTATTCGCGTGAAGTTAAACAGCCTTTTACTCAGTAGAATTTTCACATGAATTGACATGAACCTTAATAGCGAATCCTATTGTTCAATTTCAGGAACCTTCAGCGTCGGGGCACGTTCACCAAGCACACCGCCCCGCTGCATCACCGGCGCAGCAAATCCCAAGGTGTCCTCGGCGAGCGGCCGTTCCCATTCCAGGAGGCGAAACTGGCAGAGACACTGCACAGATTTGGCCTCCCCTCGATGTCGGATCAGCCAACAGGTATTTAGAATGCATCAGATATTTACTTCATTAATTTAAAAAACCGAAATACGCTGCACATATCCTGCGGAGCTTAGAAGACAGTTGCAATACCAAACTTGCTTGTTGTGGAAGGTGTGACAAGGGCTTATATGGCAAGTGATTCACAAAGTAAAATGTAGTTCACATAAAATATGTCTTTTGTTTTTTTCAGTTGGCGGAAGAAAAGCCACCCCAGCATATATGTCAATGACAGCATCGGCAGCCAACAAACGCAGGAACCATTCTAGGGGGTGAGTTTTTAAATTTGTAGCTCGATTTGCACCTCAATTTAAAAAAAAATTGAGACAGGACTTCTGTATCTAATATCCTACCAAAGTTTTAGGCCAGATCACGTTCATGCAAATGCGAATGCTAAACAATTATGAAACCTTCGCTATGAAATTCGCCGTAGTTGAAATGTGTTCAAGTTTTGCAAATTCACCGCGCAAAAAAAGCTTTCCTGACGTCACAATTCAGAGCACAAAACGCTTCCCCGTCATCACAAATTCATGTTTGCGTTCCCACTGATAATGAACCGGCCTTACAGACAAAGACGTTGAATTAAAAGATGTTCATTGAAAAAGAAAAAATGAAGTCACGATCATGTCACCATGTGCCTCCTGACACTAACATCCCAATATATGTGGAGCTCTGTGGTCCAATGGTTACGGTGTTCGACTCGCGTGCCATGGTGCGTGGGTTCCAACCCCAACAGGGAACATGGTGCTTGTGTTCTTGGGCAAGACACTTTGCTACAATTGCCTCTCTCCACCCAGGAGCTAGTATAAATGGGTACCTGTGAAGGTAGAGACCAGATTGCGCTGATGCTTGTGTCCTTTGGCAAGACACTTTACTACAATTGCCTCTCTCCACCCAGGAGTATAGATGGGTACCTGTGAGGGTAGAGACCAGATTGCGCTGATGCTTGTTTCCTTGGGCAAGACACTTTACTACAATTGCCTCTCTCCACCCAGGAGTATAAATGGGTACCTGTTAAGGTAGAGACCAGATTTCGCTGATGCTTGTTTCCTTGGGCAAGACACTTTACTACAATTGCCTCTCTCCACCCAGGAGTATAAATGGGTACCTGTTAAGGTAGAGACCAGAATGCGCTGATCTTGAGCCGCTGCAAAAACTGGTCTCATGGCCTGATGAACAGGGGTAATAATTGTGAAGCGCTTTTTGACCTTAGGTATAAAGCGCTATATAAGCACCACATTATTATTATTATTATTATTATGAATTTGTTTTTATATTTTCTACGACTAGATTTCTGTCTTCTCAAGAGAACCAGCCCCCGCTGAACAGCAGAGGTCCGATGCGTACGCACAGAACAGAAAGCACGATCAAGCCTGCTGTCCGAATACCGTAAGTTTAAATCGTTTACAATTCCGTTTAAAACGATAAATCCTGCAGGATGCACTGCGCTTTTGCAGTGTTTTCATGATTGATTTTGGAAGCCACTTCATAACTTCCTTTTTTTTCTGTTTTTTTTTTTATTTTTTAGGACTTTCAGCAAGAGTAGATCAGCTGGTAACCTGCATGGCAAAATGAATCCCTGAAGAAAATATGAGATAGCGATACCAGAAAGGCAGAAATGGCAAACTTCTACCCAAATGCTGTCCGCCACTTTGATATTTCCAGATCCCAAAAAGACTTTACAATAATGACAGGAATTCTTCATTTGTATTTTATTCAAAAGTTATTCGAAGAGTTAACTCCCTGCCAAAAAAAATCCCCTTTAATAATGAAAATGAAATTGCTGCAATATTGAAGGACTATTGGCAGCCATCTTGCTTCATTCACACTGGTGCACGTACATGTAATTGATAGTTAGAAGGGCATGTGAACCAGTGCAGTGTCCTTCAAAATAACAAAGCCCCCTTTACAGATAAGAGTTTATATCACCAATGAATTTTCCAACAACCAGAATTGCCTATTGAAATTTGCCAATTGATCTGCAGTAAATATAAATTTGTAAATAAGCTACATAATGCACCTTAGTTCTTCAACTTGCTTCATAGAATCACCACGCCAAATATTGAGCACATTATTGTGTATGAAATATTAAGTCTACATGTGAATTTGTAAATATGTATAGACACACATTACATTGAGAAATACTCTCAAAAACAAGTTGATAATTTTCATACGTACTTTGTGAATACTTGTACATAAATCACTGTTCTGTATATTATTTTGTCGAAGTTGAATCATGTAAATACAAACTTTGTTCTTTTGGTGGGTAATAGTTTGAGGGCTAGGCGTTTCAATTTGGACAGGATTTTTCCAAAAAAAAGCGAAACAACTTGAAGGGAGATACAGGGAAGAGTGCAAATTGAACAAGTAGTAATTTACTTGAGATTGAATGGCGAGGTACCACCGTAAAACCTCGTAAAAATTTTGATTGATTTTGCGTTCTCTCCAACAAGCCACAGGTAATATATTCCAGGCTCAATTTTGTCTCGGTGCCAAGTGCCTGTCTCAATTGACCTATCGCGGTAGAATCGCGTTGGAGTCACGTCAACGCAGCTTGTGAAATATTAGCCAATTACATGATATACAAACGGACGCGGAACGCGCAAAATCTGAGACAAACAAAAACTTTGCGTTCAAAAATTCCATAGGGTTGTCTAAGGGGTGTGGCTAACTCGCAAACGGCGATAGGTCAATTCATATATGGGACGAGTTCCAGACAAGTTGCAGGGTAGAGTCATTCAGTTTGTCCTCGGGGGGGGGGGGGGGAAGCTCCGCATTTGTCCGGACATGCTCCAGGGAAGTTGTCATTAGCTACTGCTTGACTCGCCAATACTGATAACTTCATTGCGGGAAGATTGCCGGGAAGTTGTTCAGAATCCTACAACTTATACCCGATACAATGTCTGCAACTTGTCCGGAACTCGTCCTGTTAAGCATGATTTGTTGTTCTTACTGCTCATGGTCTCCTTGAAATTTCTGTTAGCAGAAAATCAGGTGCTAAGCAGCGCCGTGAAATTGGGCCCAGGTTTAATACTTCACTATTGTCGTTGAACAGTTTGCAGCTGGTTTTTTAATTTACTTTTGGGTGTAAGAGGTTTTGTTTATTTGTCCTGCAGTCAATTAAGGAGCGGCAAGTTTTGCACATAAAGTGTTGTTGAATCATTTCTCAAATTCAGTTTCTTTCAGTGTGCAGAATATAAGTTCAGCCATAATGGAGTAAAATTTCTGTAGGCGTGAATGGAATTTAATTACAGTTGTCGATGTATTACGCTGGCACAGACAAGCACAGAATCACTTGTTTTAGAATTTATTAAATTAAAAGCTTCCTAGCGCAACAATGAACTCTGGCATTTTGAAATTTCTTTTCTTTGGTATTTGTACTGAATCATAAAGAATGTATTCTTTGTGTAATGGAAGAGAAACAATTAAAGGGTGTACACACACAATCTGCATGTATTAATTACGGTAGAAACCTGGATTACTAATACATTGTACAGTACATGTACAATCGAACACCTTTATAACAAGGTCCTTGGGACTTTACAAATTACCTTGTTATAACAGGTACTTGTATTAACAGTATTGGAAAACAAAGACTTGGGACCTGAAATTTTGCTTGTTATAAGCAGGGTGTTGTATTAACAGTGCTCTTCTTATCAGGGTTCGACTGTATATCATTAAAGATAATGAAGTCGTGTATGCCTTTAATCAAGTCAAGTTGATTTGCAGCACAGGGAACTATTAAACTGCAGACCCGACCTCACAACACACACACCCAGCCTTGTTCCGTAGTTGTGGGGACTACAAAGGAGTTGTCCCATGGTACTATGGGGACCAAAGACACTGTGGGGACAGCAGAAAGTCCCCATAACTCAGTCCTAATTTGCCTAACAATAAACTTCCCCATAACGGCCCGCCCTTGTTAACATTGTACACACACCCACACCTAGTGTAAACATTCCTTTGTATTCGTGTAGTTTTATAAGAAAAACTGGAGAAAAAACTCATTTACCCGCACCGTGAATACTCTTTCAAACCAAACTTTTTATCAAGATTTCCTTGAGTGTTCCTCTTCATTTTGCTACAAAATAACCCTAACCAAAAAAATGCCTCTAAACTTGTTTTCCAGAGAGGGGGAAACCTAGTGTGGACGTGCAAGTCCACAAAACGTTCATACAGTACTTGCTGCACCCTGTGGACCTCTTTTGTTCACAGGTCCACAAAGAGTATGCAAGGTTAGAGCTAGCACATAAACTCGTGGGAAGACCTTTGTTTCCCTTCTTTTGTTTTCCTTTGAAATCTGGAACTCCATAACATTTCCCTTAGGCCAAAAAAAAAGTATCCGGTTTCTGGTATGCGCGCGTGTCGCCGTAGCCATGCGCGTCGGCAAAATGAAAAAGGTTTTTTTTCAATGAAAGATGATGTCTCAAAACCGCCAAACTCACTGGTTAGACTGGAATCCTGCTGCTGCACAATTTTAACATGTTTTTAGATTGGGTTATGATCGAGAATAAGCTTTATATATGTGGCCTCTCTGGACTCCCATTTATTTGCACCAAGTTTAGTCGGGCACCATTTGCAGTCATCAGCCGATATTTGAAGCAAAAAAGTCAGGTAAAAAAAAATGGTATGGGCAAGCTCCATACCAGAAACCGGAGACTTTTTTTTTGGCCTTATGGGATAAATTGAAATTTCTGTTAAGACTCCCTTGTGGGGTCTGTTCTATTGTGTTTTCTATCCCATAAGGAACCGCGTACATGTACGAGGACAGGCAATGGCTACTGATATTTTTAATTGGTTGCTATGCATATTTGCTGTGCCACCTCTCCCTTTAGTTTGATATATGCTTACTTCTATCATGATCTAGATCCACTCCAGACTCGAGAACCATAGAGTTTCAAGAAAAAAGGTCGGGGTACTAGATAAGCCAATGTAAAAAATACCTGGATGTCTGCACCCGCCTACATAAAGACATAAAAAAAATACCAAGAATACAATCAAAATAAAATTAAAAACAAGTACATGTTCCACATTAAAAATTAAATGTACACTTATATTTTAGAGAACGTGTAGGCTTTTTGGGTGGTATTGTTTAGAACACGGGGGTGCTGTGGTCCAATGGTTACGGTGTTCGACTCGTGTGCCGTGGTACATGGGTTCGAATCCTGACCGTGGGAACATGGTGCTTGTGCTCTTGAGCAAGGCACTTTACCATTATTGCTTCGTCCTTCGGATAGGACGTAAAGCCGTAGGTCCCGTGTGTTGTGTAATGCACGTTAAAGAACCCTGTAACATTTATCGCTAAGAGAAGGGGTTTGCCCCGGTGTTTCTGGCAGTGGCTGCAATATGCGCCGCAGCACCTTGTAAACCCTTATAAGGTGCTACATAATGGGTCTCATATTTCTAATAAACTTTATTGACCTTTCTTTAATAATAGACATATCTCCAGCGCCTTGAGTACCTAATAGTTGGTAGATACGTGCGCTATATAAGACTCCGATATTATTATTATTATTATTATGTAGTTGTTTTTTTTTATTTAGAACTTGTGGTCGGTGATTTTTATTTAGTTCTCTGTACTGACAATCAATGTGGTATTAAGGTACATATGGCGTCATGTGAATTTAAAAATGTACCCTTGATTAGCCATCAAGAAAAAGCTTTAATCATAAAAATATGGCAAACGCAAAAAAAAAAATTACAACCTCATTAATAATGAAATCACACTTCACAATTGTATCCATTTCTAGTTAGTATATTCACATTTTATTTGAGCACTTTTTGTTGACACCGTGGGAAAAAAAAACCTTCCAAGAAACAATTTCTCATTTTACCATACATCACCCCAAACTGGCCTACATCACATTTTCCTTTTAAGACGCTCATAATAAAAGGTCAACTGCAAAGGTTAAACTCATTGTTTTGGTCACGATAATAAAATTTGAAATATGAAAGAGAAAAAATTGCGAGAAAAAAAAAATAAGCTGCTACCAAAGTAAGCTGCATAGCGTGTAAAGTACTCGGGAAAAACACAAAAATTTTGCAATAAATACCACCATCACAATGAACTAGCAAATAGATTATTTTTTTTGTAAAAGAACATCTCACGTGTACATAAAAGTTCCTAATCTAATTTTCAAATAACAACACCTAGATTTGTTTAACGTCGCTTCTGGACTTTGGTTGTTTTTTTATATTTTTTGGACATTTTTTCAAGTCATACTTTCTTTAATTTGATCAGATCTTACTTACTTTTACAAAATAACATCCATATAATATACTTCTCTTGAATTTGGGGCAAATTAAACAGAAACATCAGAAACAGTAACAATATTTTTCTATTAAACAGTATTTTTAATATTTGTTTTAATAATAAGGGCATTAGTTCTGTTAGGGCAATATACACGTTCATAAGTTGCTTGTCTCATCTCAAATATCAAAACTTTCGGTCCATTGACATTCATTCAAGAATCTACCCGTCTCTTTTGACAAAAAAAGAGGTGTTTCCAGCACGTTCCTAAATTAATAATACTAGATTAATAATAGCAAAAGGCCACAAAGCCAAAAAGAGGGCTTTCCCAGTACAAAGTTCAAGCATTCCAATTGTGGAATGTAATCACAATGCTGTATCTCATCCAACACTTTGTGCATTAGAACACCAAAATATACACAGTGAATAAATTGCCAACAAGCAAAGATTCAAGTTGTGGCAAGGCGAAACAACTGATAGCCAGCCCCCCACCAGAAAACAGCAATCGATCTCTACTGAGTCCAACTGCAATTCAGTTGCTTAAAAGACAATCGTCTCTCTTGCAAATATATATCTACACAAGAAAAAAACATAATGTGCACAAATTTGCTCCACGGGCGAACTCCTAAAATATCAAAATATATTGTACACAATGATTCACAAAAATTTAGTAAATGAGGGTAGATTTCTAATAAGCAAAACATAGAGATGTGTTTTAACTGGTTTTACTTCTATACATGTACTGTACTTGTCTTGACTTTGGTAAACTTTCAACACTACAGGAATATCGATGAATTTTTATCAAATTAGATTTAATATGAAGGCAGAGTAGGCGATACTCATCTTCAGGAGGCGGGGCAAATCTTCAAAAGGGTGGGGACTCGCTTTGGTGGGATGAATAACACGTATGATTTTAAATGAAGCACCTTTAATGTGTTGAAACAATTTGACAAGGCCTCTTGAAAATAGTTTTGTTCGTTTCATACTATGTCCTTTAGAAAGATTTAAACTCACCTGAGTGCGAGGGGTTCTCTCCCCCATGGGAGGAGTCATTTTCTTTATAGACAGGGGTGCTTCCAAAAAGGGAGCTACTGTCAAAATGGGAGGGGCTTATTTTATTAAAATTTATGGCTTCTCTTCTGGTGGGAGGAGCTTTCCTCGAGCTAAGGTGCAAAGCTTACGGTGACTGGGGCTAAGCTTTTGGGTAAAGCTAGTGAGAGTTGCTTTAGCTTATAATAGGAGGGGCTAAAGCTTCTTGTGGGTGGAGCTCCTCTTTTAAATGGTGGTGATTATCTTTTTTTCTGCATAGTTAATTGTGGGATGAGTTTGTCTTCTTGTGGGAGCGGCTTTTCTTCTAGTGGGAGGGGCATCTCCTCTAGTGGGAGGGGCTTTTCCTCTAGTGGGAGTTGATTAGCTTAAAATAGGAAGGGCTCAGCTTCTCGTTGGAGGAGCTTCTCCTCTCATGGGTGTCGCATATTTATTTGTAGGAGGGGCTTCTCTTCTAGTGGGAGGGGCTTCTCCTCTAGTGGGCGGGGCTTCTCCTCTAGTGGGAGTTGATTAGCTTAAAATAGGACGGGCTCAGCTTCTTGTTGGAGGACCTTCTCCTCTCATGGGTGCCGCACAGCTATTTGTGGGAGGGGCTTCTCTTCTAGTGGATACCGCTTCTCTGAGGGGCGCTTCCTTTCTAGTAGGAAGGGTTTCTCTTCTAGTGGGTGGAGCTGGTGGCACGGCAGTACCGAAGGAATTTGAAGAAGAGATTGGTGACAAAGTACCAGAGGTTCTGAGCGATCTGGGAGCGGGCGATGAGGAATCGCCAGATGAGGACCAGCAGGACTGTGTTGAACGTCCAACGGATGTTGCGCAGGCTGCATAAACAAAGACAAGCAAATACGTGAAACTAAATTCATGATCTAAAGAGGACAAACTGCTGTAACCCTTTAGTCACTGTAGTGCCCAAAACCACCTGGGCACTCTATGGTTTTATTGATACTCCAGTGAATAAACACAATGTAATACAATGTAGTACAGGTGCTAATAATGGGTCAACTTATTAAAAAAATGACCCTTCCTTCCTGTCAATCAAACAGTACGCATTGACCAATTAGATCAAAATGTTTGGGTCAGGTGACCATGCTAACTCATGGTCACAAGCACATTGAGAACTGTACACAGGCCAATGGCTAAGTTCTTGCGGTGAAAGGCAAACCCAATGTTAACATGTGACCCGCTCCACAAAAAAGGGTACTATGTCGCAAATAAGTGAAATTGAGTTACACATGTATATATGGTTGGAAAGCCCACAACATAACATTTTAGTTGGTATATAATAGAGTTCCATAGCTCCTCCCCTTCTGGATATGTGACACATTTACATGTTAATCAATTCTTTGGAGTTCAAATTACACAGCTGAGAAAACAGGCTTTGAAATAGCTGGCTCTGTTGTACAATAACAGAACGATGCGCTCAAAACGGGTAGTTTTGATTCCATTTTATTCTTCGACATCAACATTTCTGTGAATGAAACCTGAAACTGTAGGTATTAACCCTAACGTCTTAATAGGGCTCTTTGGGGGTCAAGCACCAAATACTACAGAATACAACATGTGCTGTGCACACTTCTATGGGAAAAATGCATACTACAGGTTCACTATCAACTTTGAGCACGACAATGCACAGTGTGACTTAATACCTTTTCTGTGGCTCGGGTCACAAATGATCAAATGTATAACTTTCAACGCAGAGGTTGCAATGTGACACATAATAACTAAATTACATAATCTCAAAAAAATAAAGAAAACCACAAACTTACATTTTGATATTTCTCCTTGCTACGTGTAATGAATTGATATCTTCATTGAGCACAAAGCGTTTGGTGCCGATGCAGTACGCCTCGATGTAGGATTCCCAGTGGAGAGGACGCACGTCAAGGTAGAATTTCTGGCGGAAAAAATTAAAACAAATTCACACTGAATAATTATGGTCATGAAATACCAATGGGTATCAAGAGATTTGTTCGGCATCTGATAGGGCTGTGCCGTTTATACCTATATCCGAATATCCAATCACCCAACTAGTATCTGAATAGCATTTTATTAACCAGTTTGTGCTGGGGGCCGTGTATACATAAAAAAAGTTTTGTGCTATTCGGAATGTATGAAAGATAAACACGCAAGGAGCGAGCTCAGAAATATCTGTCAGCGACCCACTCGCAGCGAGCGAGGCAGGAAATAAGAGTGTGCTGCCCGAGGGTGATGGCTTCAACCCGCCTGGCTTGAGTGAAAAGTAATCCTGCACCTTGTTCCGTTCTTGTCAAATAATCTCGGCGTGAACTGGTTAAATAAATTATTTGCAAAAAGGTGAGTGGTCTCTAGAAGATGAAAAACTTCCGTGATGTAAATTTATTTGTATAAGTTGAGCGGTTTGATTCCTTGTCAGATGCCAGATTTGTGTGAACAGCCACTTAACACGCGTGATTTGAGATTTCCCCTGAGGATTAGCCCTAATTTAAATCTTTAAACTCTGTCAAATAAATCGATACATACATAATATTTATAATATTTTGTATAACAGTGTCAATATTTGAATATTCAAATCCAAGTTCAAAGATACAAATTGTCAAATATCAAATATATCAATACACACATGATATTCATATTTTTTTTGGTAACCTCAATGTCAACTTTTGAATATACGAATATTTGTTCAAATCCACGTTCAAATAATTGAGTACTGAATTATTCGACTATGCACAGCTCTAGCCTCTCACCTTCTTATCTTCTTCAGACATGAGAGCTTGCACCGCCTCCAGATTGTGATTGCTCCACTCCCAGTGGTGCATGGTGAAGTACTTAAGGGTCTCAACCGTCTTGTAGATACGGTCGACCATCTTCACCATCCTGCAATGGAAAAAAAAACAGATCAAATCAATCAGTATTATTACATCGTGTGCTTGGATACTGTAATAAGCCATTTCGGAGTTACAAAAATGTACTACTGCACGTGCGCACATCAGATTCAACGATTTAGTGTCGGAAGATAAACAAAGCAGATAAATGCACTCAAGTCTATGGGGGACGTGGTAATCGAATCCACATTTTGCAATTTTGTTCTAGTAAAACAGAAGATGGACATTTTTGTTCGCACAAAAGTTGGAGCACACGAAACAACGTAAACCATGGTGCCGTTGAAAACAATCAACATTTTTCATCTACTTCACAATAAGAACTTTTCTTTAATTTCGTTGGTACCCCGCTATGATTTTGCACGCGTGTGGCGAACTGTTTATCCCCCGACCCTAATCGTTGTCATGGGATGTGCGCATGCACAGTAGTACATTTTTGTAACCCCGAAATGGCTTATTTCATTGGTCCAGAACGGCCATGTGTCTGATCTATAAAATGTATGTCCCACACTTAAATCTATTTGAACATGGCGATTGGTGATATCCCACTGCGTTCATTGCGAGAGTTGCGCGCGTATGGAACCCGACAGTGCGCTAATTTAGCTCTGCACAATGAGAACTGCAACGTCAAACACTCAGTCTCATGTCCGGCAGGACATCAAAACCTTCAGTTATCAAAGGTTACATCGCAGTGATTTAAGTTATTTCTCACACAGTAAGTTACAACCATTTATCTTTTTGAGTTAGTGGCACGATATAACAAAACAATTGTTTAGTGCTGTGATGTGGGATATGACATTTTTTAACACCCGAGGGGCACCCCTCGGGTGTTCAAAATGATTTTCACGCACAGGGTAAGTTCAGGCACAAAAAGCGGACATAGTTGCCTTAGCAAGATATTCAGGGTTTTTTTGGGGTCGTTCGGTTTCGGTGTGGGTTGGGGTCGGTTTGCCTTGAATTTTTGTGAGGTCAATTTAAGGAGTTCAGATTGGTATCGGTTTGGATCTGGTTTATATTAATAATGTTTCGGGTCGGTTTGGCCTGGTCAGCCCGACCCGACCCGGGGTTTTTTTCGGGTTGGTTCGGTTTCGGTGTGGGTTCGAGTTGGTTTGCATTGAATTTTTGTGAGGTCAGTTTTAAGGAGTTCGGATCGGTATCGGTTTGGATTTGGTTTATATTTATAATGTTTCGGGTCGGTTTTGCCTGGTCAGCTCGACCCAATGAACAACATTACCGTAGAGTCCTGAGGCCAGTCGAATATTGCAAACCCATTTGTCAGATTTCGACTGATTTGGGATTAAATTTGATTTGTAATCACTACAAAACGTACCTTGGTTTCTGGCCTCTCAGTTGCAGTGCTAAATCCATGAAGTAGGCTGGTATCTTAGACCCAATAATGTTCCAGTATTTGTGCACGATACTGAAACAAATGGAGACATTTTCTAATGACAATATTTTGTTGATCACATAAATTATCTTCACCAAATCCTCGGCTAGTCCGAGTATCATCAGTTATGGAGCCCAGTCTCCTGTCTAACGTCTGATATATCTAAGCATGCAGATTTATGCGATCCCACGCATCAGCTAACCGGAGTCGACTTTACTACATCGTGACGTCATTTCATTCCCAAATCAGGACTGTTTGATTGGTCAATTCGAATGCAGTGTTTTGTAATACAACAATTACAGCCGGGCATATAGATCGACAAAACCTACACAAGCTTGCGCGTATTGCGCAAGAGAGCATGTGACCACAACCTTTGTTGCTGTGTCTAGGTTTTTTTTAATGACCCGACAATGGGTGAATGACCGAAGACCCGATATAGAAAGCACCCTTCTGATTGGTCAAAATCTAGAGGTCAAGACTTGGTTGTCTTGCATAATTAATTACCGAATCTGCTCACACATTAAAGTATTCCATAGACTAACCCTCGGCATGTAATAGCACCAACTTACATGTATTTTATATGCCAATATTTTAATTTATACATATTAAAATTAATAACAGAAAGAACGGAATAGTCCTTACGGGTTCTGCGTGAATGCGGCATTCGGTCTTCTGAACGCCACTTCAAGGGGTGTTTTTGTGTAGTAATGTGGAATGTTGTCTGCGAGAGGAACAAAAAAGAAAGGAAAAATACTACACGTTTATATTGAAACTGAAAATAATGTAAATTCTTAAAGCAGAGATTTGTTTGATTGAATCGAGTCTTAATAATTCAGAAATTCATAAAATACATTTTTAAGTGAACCAAGACACTTGAAAGAATCTGGATTCGAACCTGCAGTCTTCTGGATGCCACAGCACTGCCCAACCGACTGGGCTATCCAGTCTAAGCTGAACTCCCAATATTTCTTTCTTTGAGGAGTGGGGACGTTAGTCGGAGAGATTTGGGGTGAAATTATAAATAACGATTTCAAACGATTGCTAGTGAGCAAGGGATTGTATTTTTTACTTACCGATGACTTCCCACTTTGAGGGGTTGGTGGAACTGGTGACGCAGTTGTAGATGGGCGTCGTGGCTGGTCTGGAAATGCAAAGAAAGAAAATTAAATATGAATGACTAGAAACTTTTAAGAACCCTTTTCAAAGCTGTGGTGCAGTAGAGTTATCACAAGCAAATCACAAGTCCGCACAGTCCTCATAAGTTCCCACAAGTCATAAAAAGTCCTCACAAGTCTTCACAAGTCCATACAAGTCCTAACAACTCCTCATTAACCCTCGCAGGTCCTAACAAGTCCTCAGAAGTCCTCACAAACACATGTATATCACAAGTCCTCATTAACCCCCAAAGGTCCTCACAAGTCCTCACAAGTCCTCACAAATCTATCAAAAGTCCTCACAGGTTCTCACAAGTCATAAAAAGTCCTCACAAGTCTTCACAAATCCATACAAGTCCTAACACGTCCTCATTAGCCCTCACAGGTCCTCACAAGTCCTCAGAAGTCCTCACAAACACATGTATATCACAAGTCCTCATTAACCCCCAAAGGTCCTCACAAGTCCTCACAAGTCCTCACAAATCAATCAAAAGTCCTCACAAGTTCTCACAAGTCCTAAAAAGGCCTCACAAATCCTCACAAGTCATTACAATTTCTAACAAGTCCCCGCAAGCCCTTCTCACAAGTCCTCACAAATGTTCTCAAAAGTCCTCACAAGTCACTCGAAAGTCAATTGGAAGTCCTCACAAGTCACTTTAGTTTTTTAAGACGATCACTTACCTGTGAAGTCCCGTGTGCCAGGAAGCAGCAATCAACGTATTGACTACATAATCAACCGGTGAGATGTCTGCGATGGCGTCAGAGTCGGCAAGCATGGACCGAAGCAGACCCATGCCAGTCTAGAATTAAAAATAAAATTCCAATCATTTTTGGATCATCTTTTGCTGTAATTGAAGAACCCCCTTGCAAATTCTTTTTGCAAATTAACATGTTCCAAAAGTGAATTTGGCACATGCTTGAAATGAAAAGTTTACTTACTGCAATGAATAGTCCACTGGGCCCATTGAAATTGTCGATCCATCCCTGTTAAAAAATGAAACATCAACATTAAAAATATTGCACTTGCCATGGCAGAAGTGTCATCAAAGGAAACCAAGCGATTATTCTGACACCACATTTGCATGAGTTTAATGCTGATGGCAAGAACTTAACTTATGGTATGCGCATTAACAAGAGTCTTGTTAAAGTAGATATCACAAGTAAAATTCTCCGCTATCTATTACAGAAGGTGTTGTGCTAATGTTGAGCATGAGCAAAGGCCCGGATTATCCAACAGGCACAGTAGGCAGTGTGCATAGGGCCTATGAAAAATTTGGGGCCCACAAAAAATTTGAGGGCCTTCAAAAATAACAGTGTGCCATAAAACACCCACACTAAAATTTGTATCCTTGTGGAGACATTTCTTCCTTCTCGTGTACTTAAGTTTTAAAGTTTGAAAGTACAGTTTCAAAATGCTCTTATTTTGACCAGAATTAATTTTCTTGGCTGAAATTCGGACTTAATATCCCTTTTCTAAAACTCTACCATTTGCGACGGATCAACATACCTTGGAAATTTCTAGTTTTTGAGTAAAATCCATATATCTATTTTGTGAAAACCTTGTGGAGACGTATTCATCTATAGAAATTGCCCTGTGGAGACGTATACAATCTTTTGTTCCCTATTGTGTACATGTCTCCAGAGGGCACAGTGTATCATATCACACACACACACGTCCAGACAAACATGTTTACAGATAAATGGACGATTTTCTAATGTTCCTCTCCCTTTTCCTTTGTTCATACTCATAACTTTTTCGCAACAGCTCTCTTTGGTTTTGTACACGTTTTCTAATCAAGGTCGTCCATGATTTGGTTCCTGTCCTCGATTGACCGATGATGTTGCACGTGTGTGTCCTCAATATACCCCATAAACAAATGCACGCAGTCATGAAATTCAATACGCCCGAGGACAATGCATTGTGAAACTATCATAGGTAGTGTTCCGTACCGGAACTGGTTCCTTCCAGCCAGCGCCGACAATGGACGGCCGTACGATGCAGATCGGTAGCCCACCCCCTTCTTGTAACAGTACATACTCCCCTAGCGCCTTGGTGAATGTGTAGGTGTTGGGTCGGTTACCGATGATTTTTGGTGTGATGGTCGCAAGCATGTCCTCATCCATCCATCTTGGAAGGGGCAAAAATAAAAAATGATCAATTTTCAAGAGTCAATAATCAATCTTAATTAGGGAAATTTTCTCTGAAAAGGGGAAGAAATTATTCCTTTTCTTCTTTCTTTGTTGAATATTTTTGCTATGTTTTAAGGAGGAAGTTTCTATTTCGTAGCCATTTCAGAAGTTTTTTAGTTTAAAGAAAGAGGTCAATTTTGCCTAACCACTTCAGTCTGGTGCCCTTCCTTAGCAACCATGCTTTGTCTACGGAGTGCCTACAGACTCTAGTACTCACTCGGTGGCATTCATGAGCTTGTAGGGGTCCATGGGCGGAGGGTATACAACTTCTTCGATCTTTTTCCTGTCGCAGTTTGCGTACGCCGTTGACACGTGCAGGAATACCTTCCGACATAAAGAAAAGTAAGTCAGACCTAAAACGCATTGGCATGACATGTGAGCAATATTTTAACTCTGACTTTGTTTAATGGTACTTTATTAAGCTCGATAATTTTATTTCAAGTTGCAGCTTAAGGGTTGGAAGTTACCTCAAGTTTCTTCATTCCTTGGGCTAGTTGAAGCATCTTCTGCACCGAGCCCACGTTGAGCTTTAAGGAAAGACTGTAAAAACAACAAGAACCAAATAATAATGCTGTTAGCTTGACTGATAATCACATGTTGTATGTGGGGAGTGTGGCCTAGTGCTTAGGGTTCGTGTCTCATGGTCAGGGGTTTGTATCCAGCTGCTGGTCATATGCTGTGTCCTTGGGCAAGCCACTTCGCCCCACTTGCCTCTCTCCACCCAGGATTATAAATGGGTACCGGAGTTAGCTGGGGAAAAACCTGCGATGGACTAGCATCCCATCCAGGGGGAGTAGAAATTTTCTCAGTCGTTTCATGCTACTGAAACCAGAGATAAACGCCGGCCTGATGGGCCACATTGGCTCAGGACAGACTTTACATCATGTACTTTTTACATGTGTAAACCCGGTATTGTAGAGCACCATGGTCTTACGGTTACAGTGTACAAATATGTACGTATGTGCGATACTACCAGTAGAACCCTGACTGGTTCATGGTATTTGTGTCCTTCGGCAAGACACTTTGCAACAACTGCCTTTGACCTCTCAACCTAGGAGTACAAAGGGATACCTCTCAGTAGCTTAAGACCAGATTGCACTGATCTCAAGCTGCTGCAGAAATATGGTATCATACATGTCATAGCCTGATGAACAGGGGTATTAAAGACTTGTAGAGTGCTTTGAGCCCTATGCACCAATTTTTATCAAATACGTAAAAATGCATGTCCGACTTTAAGAAGTTCAAAATTACATTATTATAATCCTGAGGCCATTTCTACTCCCTTGTAAATGACAAACATACATGTATGTATAGTATGTACATGACTGTAAGCTAATTTCTGTATATTATGCATTGTTTTCTAAAAACAATTTGGTATGTTGAAAGTATGTGCAACCTCTTTCTCTGAGAAAGCACATCTTTGTGTTGCGTGTTGCATTCAACTACTATTGTTTTTAATCCTTGAACATGCTGAAGGATGCATTAAACTTATCAGTTTCCAAACACAGCGGTTAGCGAGATAAAGATAGGATATCATCCTTAAAATAATTTAGGGTTTTTTTAAACTTATTTTGTACCAACTTATCAGGGATTAAAACACCATTGATAACAATAATTTAATCCCCGTCCAACTGCTAAAATTAGATTATTTATCGTAATCCATTTTCAGATAATCTGATTTTTTTTATTTTGGTTTTTATAACAGTTATTTTAAGCTTGTTGGTTTTCAAGGTGAGATATAGTATGACAAGATATAGGCCCTACTTGTACCTGTTAGCACATACATGTACATACTGGAATTTGTATCCTTGAGGAGTAGGCCTAATTTCTTTGTTCTCGTGTACTAAAATTTTGAGAAAATCTAGTTTCAAAATGCTCCTATTTTAACCAGAATTAATCTCCTGGCTGAACTTCTTTGTTAATATCCAAGGTAACATAAAATATTCCTTTTTGCGACAGATCAACTAACACACCTTGAAAATTCCTAGTTTTGTAGTAAAATCCATTTTTCGTGATAACCTTGTGGACATGTATTCACCTATAGAAATGGCCCTGTGGAGACATACATGTATACAATCTTTTATCCCTATTGTACACATGTCTCCACAGGGTACCATGTACCAGATCATTCATGCATATCTTGTATTTGAAACAGAAATACTGAGGGAAATGTTGGGGCCTACATGTTGTAAAGTTAATTCCACCACCAAGGTACAAAAAGGGCTCAGGCCAAAATGGCTCCTTCAAATATTGATAAAAAAAATTGTTTTATGATATGCATTGCTGAAAACATTAGACTTGATTCAGTCACTCTAAAGTGGGAGAAATCAGAGATTTCCAAACCCAGTTATCTCATTTTTTGTTTAAAATCTGATTTCAGTGGAAATTCCCTTTAAGCTTGCAGTCGTACGTGCCAACAAAAAGTGAAGAGTGAGATGCCGCATGCAATGGCCTCCACGATAATTGGGTATAGTCTGCGGGATTCAATGTTCACTCGGCCTTTACAAAACACTCAAGAGCTGTAATGGTGTAAGCAAAATGGGTGGGAACTCTCTGATCAGTTGAATGGGCAGTTTATTTCATGAACCAAAACGACCACTCACAAGTGAATGGGATTACAGTAATAGAAAATGGAGCAATTTGCGAGATATTCGAGTGTTTTCTAGTGACACATAAAAGAGGAAGGCTTCATTTTTTCAGGGTCATTTTTAAATATTCAGTTTGCAAAATCAAACCGAATAGTGGAATTCACACCGTATTTAAAAAAAATATCCAAATTTTAATCCCAGTTCTACACTAAACTTGGTCAAGTCGGTATTTTAAGCCCTGCTATAATATGGCACTAACCCAAGTTTTTCGTCGAACCGGACCGTGGCGGCGCTGTGGTAAATAATCTGAACCTCCTCTTGCAGCCTTGCGACATCCTCGTCCGAGATGCCCAGATTGGGCTCCATAATGTCGCCCTCTATCGTCACCAGTTTATCCAGGACGTCCGGGTTCTCTTCTCTGATTCTGTCGAACAGCTGCAACGGAAAACGAATCACGTAGGGATGCGTGTGAATTGTTTTCATTTTGCTGAAAGAACGCACACCTTTTTTGTGATCCGTGGACAGAACTTTAAAACGGTAGCTGTGTTTAAAACTACGTAACCTGAAAAGTATATGAGTGAATGATTCTTGTACTAAAAGAAAGCTAATGAATTGGGTTTTCATATCCTAGATTTTCAAAGTGCTACCGTACATGAAGAACTTCACTAAAACAATAGTCCCGACATTTGGGTTTCGTTTCTTTTTTCACTCACCCTGTACAGTCAACTGCACGGGTTCCTGTGAAGTTACGGTAGTCAAACTATGGACTCAATGCATGGATAGTGTTCTCCCCAACTTTCCTTTTGTAACCATTGAGGGGGTATTTGTTCACGGAGTCTACATAGTCAAAACAGTAGTTAACCACGGTTCCAGTCAAACTTGCTCTACGGAACATATTTGATTCAGCTTTTAATACATTTACAAAATTTTACAGCAAACAACATTTGTCTCTTACTCTGGACTTGGTGATTGTGTGGAGTCTATTGACGGCCGTTTGGCCAGCCTTGGGCCGGACTAGGAGGTAGATGGTTTTCAGAGCAGAGCACGACCGTAGCAGTTTCTCCACCAACACCTTGCCGATGAAACCTGTCGCCCCCGTGATCAAAATGGACTTGTCCGTGAAGTACTCCGGAATGGAGACCAAGGCATTGTTGTTTGATGCCTGAAAATTAATATAAAATACAAAAAAAAAAAAATGAGTTTGTCTTTCAGAAACAGAGTAGTGTCATTTACTGACTGCGTTTTAGAACCTGCTATCCTGCAAGAAAAAAAATGTAGTATGCTCATGATGCTTGCATGGGGTGGACTCGAACCCATAACCACTGACTTGCTGGTGCAGATGGTATTCACCAACTGAGTATTGTCAATGGTTAAGGTGTTCAACCCATGTGCCATGGGTTGTGGGACTGAATCCTGACGGAGAACATGGTGATTCTGTTCTTGGGCAAGACACTTTACTACAATTGCCTCTCTCCACCCAACCAGTAAGTCACCGATAGTCAATCATTAACCGTGGCTCGATGGTTACTGTTTCTGACTCACGGTGCTTGTGCCCTTGGGCAAGACACTTTACTACAATTGCCTCTCTCCACCCAGGACTATAAATGGGTACTTGCGAGGGTAGAGACCAGATTACGCTGATCTCTGCTGCGATTTGAGACCTACTTTTGGTAGAAAACACTACACGTATGCAACTGGGAATTTAGAAGAAGAAAAAGAGGAAACTCTAAACCACACGAGACTTTGTTCAGTATTTTTCAATTTGTAATGGCATTCATGAGAAGTAAAAAAAAAAGAGGAAATCAGCGGATCTGAGGAAAAGTTGCATGCCTGTATTTACGCTATTATTATCATCAAAGGGACTCATATTTACAAGGGTTTGCCATCACAGATGTCGTGTCTAGGGTTTGGTTTATGGTTCATGGTTTATTTTTTTTTTCATATTATATCACAAAACTATAATAAAATATAATCTATTTATAATGACAGAAATGATACAAACAAGTATGAGAAGATACCGACGACGGTGGCTTATGCTACAAAGATTTTGTCACACACTCACACGGCGGGTGATGACTTCTTTGTAGCATAAGCCGCCGTCATCGGTATCTTCTACAGTTTAATGACTTTGTTGACATTTGTAGCACACTTCCTATTTGAACGATGCTTATTTCACAAACATGTAAAAAACAATGAAGAAACTGATATGAAATCGAACAATCATTTTGTAAATGCTGCGCACACGCGCAAAGGCGTGCGTGTGCCAGGCGCGCGTGCTTCAACGCCCGCTGACAAATAATTTTAACATTAACAAAGTGGGTCAAGTGATTTTCAAGACCACGTAGCGAAAAAGTAACAGGCTTGTGCAGTGGTACTTGAACTCCTAACTACCGGTATCTAAATTACAATGTACTAGTTAAGACTATTTAACCACACAACCATGAAAACACAACCAACAAGATAAGACAGGCCCTGCTCAGTCAAATTGGACCTGAAAGTTTCAGTTTCAGATATTAATATTAGGAAAGTAACCAACCCCAAAAAACAGGAAATTCCATGCTTTATAAGATTTTATACAGTGTTTTTTAAATTTTTATTGGCACAAGTGTCAAGTGACAAACAAGGAAAGCAGCTGATCGAAGGAAAACTTGCAAGACTGTAATTTACATGTACTGAGCGACTCAGGATGTCAGTTACTTGAGACCCTTCATATCCAGCTAAAGCAAAGTTGCCAAAGTTTTAAATTCTGCCAACCACACAATACAGTACCTTAAAAGAAAAACAATGATGGGGAATTTTTGTTACTAACGTCTTTCGCATTTAGCGTTTGGAATGATGGAATTGTCACACCGCTAAAAAAAAACTTACCACGCCCCAAAGATCTGCGTTGGACTGCATTTCCTTTGAAAGCAACTGCTTACCATCCACCGAACTTTCGCCCTCCGCAAATGCCGGCATTTCAAACTCACAGTTAGACTGTTTGGTTTTACAAACAAGATCGCTCCTTCTTAATTAAGAAGTCCAACAGACAGGGCTCAACAATCGCAGCCGAATTACAATGTAACTTGAGACTGTCGTCGAGCAAATCGAGTTCCAACTTCGATGATTATGTTTTGCGGCAAAATTCAACCTACGTAACTGTTCCAAGTGATCAGTAGCTCCATAGAGAACAAAACCTGGGCACGTACAATAAAGATAATCTACCGGTACAATGTAGATACAAAATTGCAAGAACTATCTATCATTGTCTATAGACTTGTTGAACTTCTTTGCAATTTGTGGCCACGTATTAGACACATGTACAAAAGCTCTCTAGAAGCAGTACAATGTGACATTGCCCTTTCATCGACTAGACAAAAACTGGACTTTGCCGGCCCAGTCTGAGGGTTTTAAAAGGCAGCCCCCATATCTGCCTCATATTACACAATGCACATTATGCAAATATCACTGTTGATAAGTTAATATTTAACTTGTGCTGTACATGTACAGCATGTATTGCGCATGTAATCTACTGTACGAGAGCTTAGACTTAACTCAGTCTCTTGAAGTCTCTTGATTCAATTGTCATCTTTTGCCAAACTTTCATTTCATTTGCAAAGTTTCAATTTTAATTCAAAGATTTCGAACAAAGCTCACGATCTGAATATTGATGATTTGCTTTCACTTACAAGTACAGAGTACACGTACTTCAGCTGATCAGCAAATATGAAACTGAAAAAAGTCCATTCTTTTGCATATTTTTAAAACAGTGAATTAAAGCAAATGAGTTTGTTACAAAATCTTACTCTCCATTCCCCTTGTCAGACAGGGAAGCAACAAATAAAAATTGGCATATTGGATTTTGAAAATGTGTAGGTCACCGAATTTCCATTTAAAAGTATTTTCAATTTTCCATTTCAGGAAATTTTGAATTCCATTTTAACCATACAGCTGTGCAAGTGCATTCATTTCCCACTTCATAATGCGTGCGTTGTGTAGTAGATGTTCCTTAACCCTAACCACTTAAACCCTTCAAAATCCAACTGCATGTTTTGTTGGAATCTGTTGGAGTGAGTACTGCACTAGTAAACTGATTGTGCTTTACATGGGGTCAGGCATACCACCATAATCAGAGTCCAACAGTTTAGGCCAAGTTCGGGCAAGGACCATTTAGTCGACTTAGTGGTTGATTTGTGACGTACCTTACGCCTGCGCACTGATAGCAACGTGCGAACGTCTCAGTCAAACGCTGGTCAAAATGTCATCGTAAAACTTCTGGATCCTGGCTCTCTGCTAGCGTTATGAATGCGCGCGGCTATTGGTTACCAGCGAAGCAACCAACCCCAGTAGGTTGGTTCCGAATAGTCGACTAGCGTAGTCAACCACCTTTGACTAGACAGAGTTCGGGCAAACGTTAGTTAACCATTGGTCAACTATAGTCCTTGCGCGAACTTGGCCATTGTTGTAGAGTTTACCATATTGTGTTGGATTTTGCAAGAGTGAGGAAGGTTCCTATAGTATTAAAATCACTCAAGGTTAGGGTAGGGTTAAAAAAAAAAAAAAAAAAAAAAAAAACACACACACACACACAGAGAACAAACTTTTTTGTCATGTCACTTACAATTTGGCTTTAAAGACTTTTTAAATTCACCTAAAACTTCACGCTGAACATGCTGAAAACTGAAAAAGTTTTAACTTTGTTAATTTCCACTACAGGGTTTTATCAAAAAGCTGAATTCTGTTTCAAAATGTGAATTCCACTTACATTGTATCTTGTTTCTTTTTTCAGTGTTAAGTATATCTTTTTTCAGTGTTAAGTATAAAAGTGGTGGTTCAAAATTTGTCAAGTCTATGTTTACACAAGTAATAAAATGTAGACTCTAGATAAGACTGATATGGACAAAGTGAGAAAAAAAATTCAACCAATAATTCAGTAACCTCAAATTACCATGGATACTGTAACCATGGCAACAATTAAACTATCACTTGTGGAGCTTTACTTGCGTCATGTGACTAATGATTGATCCGCTAACAAGATGAGAACAGTCGCTTTGAGGCGATATCTTGACAATTGTAAAGGCAAGGAAAATCGTGCTTTTTGTTATAAAATCAATAATTTTGTGACAATTTCTTGATGAGAGAATTTGTATGCAGTTTCTGGGATTGGGAGTGTGGCCAAGTGGTTAGGGTTTGGGACTTGGGATCAGAGGGTCAGGGCTTTGAATCAAGCTACTGGCTATTTAAGTTGTGTCCTTGGGAAAGCCACTTTACGAACATTCATTATTGGTTTATAATGCCACCACTTAATAAATCCTCGTCATCTGATTGGTAAATAGTGAGACAGGGGAACTTCTATTTTACCGTGGAATGGAACTTGTATTTTTGTGGTGCAGCCATGCCATAGAACAAAGGATGAATAATTCAAGACATGTGATCAATGACCCCACCAATCAGATGACAGGGATTTATTCAGGCATTGCCTAAGGCCAAAAAAAAATAGTTCTGCTTCCGATTACATGGCATTTAAAAAAAAAGGGTGTATGTAGGTAGGTAGGAAAATATTTTTTTTTGCCATTTTTTTTGTGTACGATCATATGGAGGCGTCTGCGGGAAGTCAAGGGTAAAAGGTAGAAATTGATGGTTTTAGGTGTTTTTTCCTCATTTTTCCAATAAAAAAATTAGGGTAGGGGCTGTCAGAATAGGGAGGTAGGGAAACCAGAAGCAGAACTATTATTTTTTTTGGCCTAATAAATAACAAATAAATGGAATTTAAAAAAAAGAAATATGAAAGCTGAATGTTGAACAGGAAACTAAACTGAATTAAAAAAAATATGACGGGAAGTGTCAAACATGCCCAAGGCACACTTCTCAAGCTACCGGTACAATGACCTGACCAGTACATACGTGTGTACAATCACACGTACATGCGGTATATGGGTCATAGAATTCTGCATTTATCAGGCAGGGTCGAGATTGCGAGAAAATGAAAAAATCCACGAAATAATCGGCAGAGGGTCACCAAAGGCCCAAGAGCAACGTACATGTAAGGTCTACGGTATACCATACCTGTACATGTATGTGAGTGTATGCTAAAAGCACCCCTTAAGTTTGTTCTTGTTCTAAACCTTTCTTGGTAAAAACACCTTCACGGTAACACCTCAGGAACTCCAGATTTCAAAGATAATATTTTTTTTTATCCTTAAATCAGGAAATCTCCTGACCAAAAAAAACCCCTGCAATCACTTTTTATCAGGAAACATCTTGACAAATCTCAGGTTGAATTCAAAACCGATTCAATTTGTAGCAAATTTAATTAAATGCAGATTCAAATTTAGTTGATGTGGATTTATCTTAATTGCATTGTTTATGACAAAACACAGAGACCCAATCTCTAAAAAATAATTTCATACATTAGATTTAGCGTCCATCATTTTTTTTTTTTTTTGTAATTTGTGCATTATGTCGTTAGAAGCAACAAAAGTGCTCAAAATCTAAAGAAGGGTACTGAACAACTAACCTGATGAAGTTTCAGCTCAGGGAATGGTGCATATATTCCGAGAAAACAATATTCTAGGACCTCGATTTCAAATCAAAAGTTGCTGAGTCATGTTTTGATTGGGCCTGAATTCAGCGTCCGAGACGCGTTCTCACCGAGCCGATTGCAGCTGATGTCGATGTTGCGCACTGAACCGATGAATAATACCAACCCCGCGCGCGTGTGCATCATGTCAACGCTTGCGCGCACTTCCCTGAATAAAAAAATACTAACAAAAATTTCCAGGCCTTCTTTCATTGATTTTTTCAAAATGACAGCTTGCCAGACAGAATAATTTCACAGGGAGTTTATACCCATAATTATCTATCTTTAAACCATGCTTTTCAACAATAATTACGTGAGCTACTTTTTGGACAGCTGCAAATGATGGACTGTACCTTTAAAGCAAATAGAGGGAAAAAGGCAACAACTATTTCCGGTATTAGCCTCAAAATTTCTCAAAATTTCTACGGTCAGCTTCAGGATACAAATGAGATTAAAACCCACACAAGTGATAAGCTTCTAAAAATAACTTTTCATTTTACAAATGTATTAACTTCGATAAATCTCAAGCAATCGCTCTTTGTGATTTAATCAGCTAAACAATCACAAGCAGAAACAATGTTTCAGGGTAAAACAGATAACTTAGGAAAACATAAACATGGTAACAGGTAACACGATTCTAATAATAACATTTTCATTTATTTAAAGAGTTAAATTTCAAGACATCACCGATGGCACGCTATATTTAGTTCCTGTTCTTTAATTAGCTACAAGAAACATTTTTTTGGTTTTCCGTTAATCCAGATTAACTGATACAGTAACTCCTTGGAGGTTTTGTCAACTTGATGATGATAACCGAATCATGTATCAGATGTGGGAAGATAAGACAAGGGATAGAATGTTGACAATTTGGATTTGATGGATAATGTAATCTTGGTAGGGCTGTGCCCAATATACCGAAAAGTCGACTATTCGATCAGCAGCTGAATTTTCGAATACCATTTTGCCGGTTTTATTTTTGGTAGTGTATATTTTGCCGGAGGTAACGCCGGCAAACTAACGTTTACTAAAGGTTTGCCGGCGGCAATCCATATCAACAGAGGGCGCTGTACTCTTTAAGATAGGGCTGAATTATAACATGTATTAAATTCCCACCAAAATTGTGTAGCACAGTCGGTGCAGTGGTTAAGCAATAGCTCTAGTGAGTGGGATGTCCCGAGTTCGAATCCTGACCCCCGCCACAATTTTAAGGTTTTTTTTTTTTCCCCAAATAAATAAGAATATTCTTCTTTTATTATTTTAATATGTCTCAAACATTTTATTGCAGAGTATTACTTTTTCTTTTTCAGATTTGTGGCTCTGGAGGATTTTTTTTAAAGGGAAATAAAGTCCGAAATTATAAAATGGTCTGATTCCCATCTTGTTAATACAAAAATACAACGATAATATTGGCATGGAGCCAGACTAAAATTTGTCACCGGAAAATGTTCAAGTACAAAAAAACAGTAACTGCGCATGTTCAGTGCATATCCGGCAAACTACATGTAACGTTTACTGAAGGTTTGCCGTCTCCGGCAAAATATCCACTGCCTTTATTTTTCTTGGGGAAAAATACATGTAATGCACGTATGCACAGGACTGTGATGTTATTTTATCGTAAAGTTGCGGCACCTTATAGTCAGGTTACTCATCAGGTGCCACTTTTTTGTCGACGCTACCTTTTTTTTCGATGGTGGTTCATTGTTAACATCCTTTTACAGGGGTGAGAACATACGTACTGCAAAACACTTCAGTGCCCCATATTGATCGCTGCACGCAAAATTTAACTGCCACACTCTTCATAGATGTACAACTTTTTACCGACGCAGCATGCAGACTTTGCAGTTGGCAGTTTCGAATATCCAAATACTCGGTCAAACATGGTTTCAAGTGATCGAATATATTAAATTATTCGAAAATGGCGGCCAGCCCTAAATCTTAGACAGTTAAAGGCAGAGTTGAACATTTACTATTTGTGCAATTTGTTTTTGGTTCCTTTGAACCAACAAAAGTGCTCAAACTCTAAAGACAGATACTATGAACAACCATGGAGGAATAAGAATGGAATAACTAACCTGATGAAGTTTTATGTAGCTCTGCGAAAGTATATTTGGAGAAAACAGTTCACAAACATAAAAACTCTATTCTGGTTCTCAACTTCAATTCCATACATACATGTTGTATTTTGAAATTATTGGGACAAAATCCCGTAGTACGCATTCGGGTCATGATTCTTATTCAGATGTTCGTCACCCATGAATTCACGGGTTTGCCCAAATTAAAACCAACTACATCATGCACATTGTACAAATTAGAACACATGGGGGCGGGTTCAATGAAATTCCCAAAAAATGTGTCACTTGACACATCTTTGGAATTTTCTTCAAAATGATCCACATGCCAGAACATAGAACCTTGGACAATTTTACAAGGGGGGGGGGGGGGGGCATTTGATAGGCTTTTGGAGAGACCAAATCCGGCTATAGGCCTACTTCATTCGGTCCCGCCCCCTGTTTAGGGAAAGTAGCTTTGTGGTTTTTGCAGCTAATCACGGACACAAACTCCGTTGCATCACCTGGTCTGGTCACCGAGGCTTAGGCCCTAAACTGCAAAAACATCTGCAATATTTTTCAGCATATAGGCCCTATATCAAATTTCCCAATATTCAGCTTTTTTTTAAAGGGGCCGAATTTTTCGATATGAACAAAATATCGCAAATTTTTGCAATATAAAAAAATATCGCCATATTGTCCATATTCCCATAACCAATCTTGAACTGCAAATTAGAATTAATTAAGCCCACATCTTATTAAACACCAAAACTGCAGGTGCAGCAAATCAAATTAGCGTACGCCCTGTGCATAAACCCTGAGGGCGCTATTCAAATTTCAACATTCAAAGAAGCGTGTCACGATGGTCACGATGGTCACGACACCTCCACTCCTCCAGTCCTATGTACGATGACACATCGTGTACAGACTAAATACACGTGTTGTAATGCCGATCAAGATGTCGAAATATGCACCACACATTCATCACCAAAATGTCCACAGAATTACGACTCCGATTTCCCATGTTAAGGCACATATCCCTTGCTGCTTACCATTTTCTTCAGTGGTAGCTCTCGATTGTCTCAAATCTGTGGGATTTGGTTTAAAACCTGCTTTCTCTACGATCGTCCGTTACCCGTTCCTTTTCATCCAGGCCAGTTGTTAAGCACGACCTTGTCCTCGTCTAATTTATTGTGCGTGAAAATAAATCAGGTGTTAATCTGGTACCCAGTATAGCGGAGCCAACATTTTATGTTCGCGCCAACGGTTTATTTTCCACATGGCCCTGGGAAGATCCGCGGTATCCGACTACTCGGCTTTCTGTTCAAATTAAACTTCTTTCAAGTTAACGCGCGTAATTTTTCAAGGCGAAAGAAATCCTACAAAAACAAAAACTGATATTATTAGCAATGTAATGGGAAACGATTTTAAAAGGAATTATTTTTTATTCGAATAATAACATGAAATTGTTTTCTTTTTGTCATTTGTTCGACACTTTCTAAAGGACGCCACACTTCGAAAACGGAACTAGTGCCAGACTGGTAAAAGTCTCATTTGAGTCCTTCGCACTTTTATGGCACGCCGTACATTAAAAAGTGATAGTCTGTGAGTGTGATGTAAGGACAAACACAAGTGATAGCGGGTGCAAAAGAATAGCTACATGTAGATTGTCCCTGAAAATGGATTTCATTATCTCATTGTCCAAAAAGATTTATTTCGTATTAGGCAAGCTAGTGGCTAAACCGTGGATGGAACAAGGGATAAAGGGACATGAGCCGATATAGAATGATTAATTTTGACTGTCACATGTCTCCCTAATACTCGATTGATGTTTAATCACTAAAATATAAATATATATTTATTTAAGGTTCATGTCCTTTCATTTCATTTATTTCATTTTTTTGGATACATTTGTTACAACAAACAACAACATTAAATACTCAAAAATACACATGAACATTTTAGACGAAACATCATGACACAGTATTTAACCAGCTCCCGCTGGATCACCCAAAAGAAACATGGTTTCTGTTGAGGGGTTCTCCAACTGATTAAATATGACACACTGAAAACAATGTTAATAAATTATAACTTCGTAAAACTTTAAAGAAATAAAACAATAAAACAAGACCTTAAATGAATAAAACTATGAGTAAAACAAAACACTGCATTGTATTTAAATTGCTATGTACATGTATACAGTAAAATGATTTGTTATAGTACAGGCATAAAATGATTTTTAGGAAGGTCGGCAATAATTAATCTTGAGGGGGGGCGGGGCACCCCTCCACCAAAATTATTGACAAACGAAAGGCAATTTACGCCCCCTCCCTCCTACGCCGTAGTTGCTTTATAAATATAAGTTTATTTTTAATTTTAAACATTCATCGCATCAATTTTATGAATACTTCTGCTGGTAACAAAAGTATTTATTACTGATCACGCGCGCCTCTTTATGACACTTACTGGAGTTAATATGAACACATTGGTCGGACACACACACCCCTCGACAAAATGGCCGCTTCCAGCACTGGGACAATTTCGAGTGAATTATGCGGTCCAAATTATTCCCAATTTCAGTGATTTGTTGGGGCTAAAGATTGCTATACATAACTTATCTCATTCAAGAAGATAGTGACATCTGTTTTTGGTCTACGACGAGTTGTTTTTGCTGGACGAACGGCAGGATTTTCTCTGGGAATGGCAGACAACTGGGCAAATTTCCCGGCAATGTCGAATGCCGGGGCGGCGCAGCAGCCTGCCGCGGAGGGAGCGGCGCCAGCTCCGGCCCAGGTAGGTGTCCTGGTGTGCGGTGCGTTTAAACGCTGCCCGGACTAACGGCTTAACCTATAGAACTGTACTTTTGGCAAATCTAGAACTCTGTAACCCTTTGTTAATGCATTAAAGAATGCAATAGTAAACTAGGCTCTAACCATGCTAACTTGATCATGTTGATGTTGATTACACTTTTTTGTTCTTTTACATTTTTGTTTTAGCACTTTTGTTTATTACGCATAGCCATAGAGTTTCTGTAGTCTTGGAGGATTTTTTTTTAACTTAGTCCTTTTAGGGAAAATCTGTTTTCGGTAATTCTGTACACAATAACTTGTAAGATTGCCCAAGCTAAATCATATCTGCTAGTTAATTAATTTTTATTAGCCCCTATTGTTTTTTATTAATAAAAATGGTGTAGTAATTATAAAGAACAGGGAATTCTGATGCCAGACATGCCACATTGATGTTTAATGTAAAAGGTAATTGGTTAGTTATTAAATTGTTCATAGGCCCTAGTACTACTAGTACTGAGTATTTTTTAACAAAACGTGTGGTCCTGTAATCTGTAGTTACTCAGTCATAATTTCATTTGCCGACAAGGATATATTTTACACCTGTCAAATGCCATTTTTCATACATAATTTGCATGTTTCATTTTTTTATGCAGTGGCTATCGTTATGGCAGCCGTAATGCGATTTTCAACTGCTATCAGTACGGAACCGTCTGGTTCCCCAACCTAATAATAGCATTCAACGTCAGGATCTTTGGCTTTCATTGGCTGTTAGAACGAGACTATCATAGAACCGAATGGTTCTCGGACTGTATTTCCCTTTTTTAAATCCTCCAAAGCCACAACGAAGAAAATGAAATCCACTTAAATAAAAAATTAAAAAACCTAAAAGTTAAGAAATCTATTTTAAAAAAAATCAGTAGTACGACAGCGGTTTCGAACCCCAATCCCCGGCAGAGTAGTCTAGCGTGTAACTAAGCGAGCTACCGAAGCATTCTTGTTGGACGGGAATTGTAAATTTGATTTACATTGGCAATGGTGTTTTTGCAATGCCGTAATGATAATAGTTGAAAATTGTGTTACGGCTGCCGTAACAATAGCCATAACATTTTTCTTTTATTGCAGGGGACTGTAAGTACTTTATTAACCATACCCTTCCCAGATCCTCAAAAAATCCTCAGGATTGAGGCTATGGCAAAAAAAAATGTGTGGCTGATTTTGAAGGATGCACTGTGTCAAGATCTTGGGCCGGACCTTGTGTTGTTTATGCTCAGCCCTGTATAAATTTAGGCCTAGATAATACTTGAAATCCTCCGCACTGCTCCAGACCAGGATGTCACTGGCTCTGTCTCAACATATTGACAGTGATTGCTGGAGGATTTTGCAGGATTGAGGCAGTGGTCACCCCTACAAGGACCACATTCAAGAAATAACAGAGGATTTTGCAGGATTGAGGCTGTATACATTTTTTACATGGAGGCAGTTGGAGGATTTTGCAGGATTGAGGTTGCATCCCAAAAAATCTGTCAAACTAAACGATTTTAAGCCTTTTAAAACTTTTTCCCCCCCATTTTGCAGGGGGCAGCAGGGGGATTGGATGATGACTGGGGTGACTTTGGCGGGTTTGAGGAAGCCACACCCCCTCCTCCCGAGCTTGCCCAACAAGTGCCAGGGCCTGGCGTGGAGGCTAGCCCCTCACCATGGGCTTCCTTTGCTATTGGTAAAAATCACCATCGTTAAATTAATTCCGTGTCAAATGACACAGCAGTGGTTATTTTGAGGACCCTGTTCTCATATGTATAAGACATTGTAAGACAGCGACAAACCTATTCTTATGTTACTGTTTTGAACTCAGCTAAAAATGCATCTCTAATGTTTTGTGTTTTGGGACTCATCTAGATTGCTGGCAGAGATACCGTGTTGAATATTAGTGAGATTAATTTTGTGGAAATGGGGCAGGGTTTTGAGTTATTAGGGAATTAACTCTAACCCTCCAGGCTATTTTGGCAAGAAACCCTGCCAAACGCAGCAACATGCAACACTTGTCTAAAGTGACAAGCCTGCCCAGTGCAGCAAGATCCATCAGGCAAAAAGTCTCAAGGCCAAAGTGCTTCAGAGTGATAGACTTGGATGGACTACAGAACTGGATATTAGACACACCAACGTTTTTGGATGACATTACATTGGACAAGCATAAAATTAGACAATCACTTGGACAGTCACTTTTAATTAACAATTTCTTTCTAAATGAAAAATAGCAATATAAAAGGGATGTGATACAAACTTAGAAAGTGTTTTGATAAACTCCTCTCTCACAATCTACATTTACTCAGATAAAGTAGCCATATTTAATTATAAAAGGGCAGTTTTGCAATCTGGTGGACTAAATAGTTTTTTTCATGATCACTTGAAGCTCAAAAGTTTGTTTTGGTCCCCCCGTTTAGCTTCCGTTCAGAATCCCGCTGCAGGTCAGCCAGACCTCCTGATGGCACAGGCCCAGGCACAGCCGCCCCTCCAGCCCCAAATAGACCCCCCGTTTGCCGACCCTGTACCCCAGAGGGGCGCTGCGGCCGCCCCCGAACTCACCTCTCAGGCAGAAGCTTCCAGACAACAAGCTCAGGTGACTTTTTGAAGTGATATGAATCAGTAAAAGATTACTAGTTTTAAAGGCATATGGCCTTCGTGCACTAACAAAAGAGGGCGCCCTTTTACCTAGAAAGGACGTCCCATGGGCGGGACATTTCGCTGGTTGACGCGCACCGTTCCTTGTGTGTTACGCACGTACACCAGGGGATTTGTACTATGTACACACAGTGGTACATGGTACGGCCGCGCCTCGTGGCAAAATTGGAGTCAGGCAAGATGGCGTCGGACGGTCACCTCCAACTGTGCTTTCTTTGCCGGTGAGGGGGTATTTGTGAACGGAGCGGATAGGATCATTTGAAAACACAGAACTTCCAAAATATTATGAAGTAGCCCACTTTATTATAAGAAGCTAATAGTACATGAAGCATCCTGTGAAAGCATTTAAGCTGGTTTGCTGTCATTCTTAAGAAAAGAGGAATTTTGTATCAGTACTAACGCAGTTTTCTCAACTACTGCACGGCCACGAGCCAGCTGTTGACTTCATGCGTACGCTCTGTTATGCCAAACGTATGCTAGGTATATACATGTACGTATGTGTATTACTTTCCCTCCACAGAGCTGGCAGTTTGGCATTCCCTGTGGCCCATGAACGACAGATTATGCAAGCTTCAATTTGAAAATGAACAGCGTTTATTCGTGTTTTTCCAGCACCAATGGCCGCGAAACATTTAACTGCGCAGTGGAACGATGACTGATATAAATTAATAGCCTTTAAATTGGTTCATGTCAAGAGACTGCGACAAATGCAAATTGTATTCATTACCTTTAAGGCTGGCTGCTCTCTAACCTGCCCTCCCTCCTCCCCCTCTCCCTCCTCCCCTTTGCCCCCTCCCCCCATTTCAGTTTTGCCATAGTTGTCTAGTAATCGGAATCCTCTCCTGCAATTACTATAGGCCCAAGCAGCAGCTCCACCGCAGAACCAGCCTGCGAAGAATGGCCTGGACAACATTGATGTTGCACTCGATGACGACCTTTTTGGAGCTGAGGTAAACTCCAATATCTTTGCAATTTTGTCATTCCTGATTTCTCCTCATTATACCATGTTTCTATTTTTGCTGGTTCCAGCAGGCCAGCCTAGTGTGCTCTTTGCACCTATGTCACTGACTGACTGACTGACTCCCCGTCACTTGTGAGCCGGGCAGTGCTATCCTGTAGGATTACCCAGTCAAGGGCGGATCCTGAACACAATTTTTATTTGGGGGGGGCCAAAAAACATTTGGTCCCCAAAAATTGGGTTAAAAAAAATGACTGCGTGTTTTTTTGTTTTTTTGTTCAATCATTTTGGGATTCTAGATGCTCTGTGGTGCAATCTGAGGCAATTTCTGATCACTTTAACCCAATTTTTTTGAGGAAAAGATGGTGGTGTACAAAGTGCCTGCCTTTATTGAGACATCACTAAAATCACTAAAAAAAAAATTGTGTTCGTTTTTTTTGGGGGGGGGGGCATGTCCCCTGTTGCCCCCCCCCCCCCGGATCCGCCCTTGTACCCAGTACTACCAACAAATGGGCTCAACCAAGCCCATTGTGTAGAACAGATGCATGAGGAGACTTCCATTGAATAGCCATCTGAATTAATTGAATACGATTTTGTTCACTGCACTCTGGAACCAAAAGTTGTATTCTTAAACTGGAATATAATTATGATAAAGTGTATCAGTTGCTATAATCATTTCAAAACGAGATTATTCATCCAACTCTTTGCTGTGGTAGAAATAGGCTTGAAACACCATGCTGCCAGACGAACTCAGAGAAATAAAAGAAATTGGTGTCCTTTTTTTTATTGATTTTTTAATTAAAATTAACAGCTGAACTGTTAAACATTGTAAGAAATGTAAGATAATAAATAAGCATGTTTCATTTGTGGCATTTGGATTTTTTGAATTTTTTTCATTGAGGTTTATTATTCCGTGGAAAAGCCCTTAAATGTAATTCATAAATACCTCAGACAGTTTAGCCATTCCTATTGGTCGAGAGCCCGTCACGTGGCCGGTATTAAACGGATGATAAAGACATGGCTAGCTGGTCTTAAACACTTTTCCAGTGTCACAATAAAATATGGACTCCTAAAAATCCAGTGCCTCTTATCGTTTCATTGGTTGAACGTCCACAATCCTCACGTAGGCATGCGCAACACTACCAGGGAGTTAGAATTTTATAGTTCTAAATTCAAAACGCAACGCGCCAGGTGCGTTCTGCGCGACATCGCGTAGAACATGATACGCGCGCGTCAATCTCCATAAAAGGGTTGTTTTCATCTTACTCGCCAGCTGAACACTCCATTATTTTGCAGGAGGGATGTTTCAAAAAGCATAAAGTGAATTTGTTGAACAAAATCGGGATGTTTTGAACGAATTATATGATTTTTTTTTACCGAAAAGGTATTTATGAATGGGAATAATTCAATTCAATTCAATTCAATTTATTATACTCGTCACGTAAAAAACATGAAAATTGATTTCCAGTGTGCATTATACATGTACAATAAGACCATAGATATATACGAATGCAAAATAAATAAAATTTGATGTAAAAAACTGTACTTTCGTATTTGATGAATGCAAAATAAATAAAATTTGATGTAAAAAACAAAAGGTACTATAAAATATTAACACAATATGTCGGTATTTATCACTCTGTTTAATACCACTTAGAGTCTGGGTGCTGATAATTACCCTCGCCTCCGGCTCGGGTAATTATCAGCACCCAGACTCTAAGTGGTATTAAACAGAGTGATAAAAACCTCCGGAGCACACATTTATTCCCTTAACATACCACTCTTTGTTTTCCAGGGCGCAGTCGGTGGACCACCGCCAGTCGAGAATCACAATGCCGCGTCAGCGGAGGCGGACCATCTAGACGAACTGGGCATGCTCAGTGGAGAGATGAATGAGCCGCCAGCCGGCCATCGACTCATCAAGCGTTCGTCTTCCTCCACCGAGGTTTTAGCGGCCGAGCTGACGGGGAAAGTTGCGAGGATGGAGGATCGGCTGTCTGCCGCGGAACGAGAAAAGATCCGATTACTCAAAGTGAGTATCATGGAGTTCACACCCGGGTGGAGAGAGGCAAATTGAGATAAAGAGGCTTGCCAAAGGACACAATTAAGACACAGAATACTAAATTACACAGAGTCTGCAGGTAAAGAGGAACTCACATTGACGTGGGTATATAGTAGCAAAGCTACTTAAATTTCTTCCAATAACAGTTGGGTTTTTTTTTCGTGTCAGGTTCGCGAAGAACTAACAGAGAAACTAGATGCCCTGGATAAAGAAGTCGAAGGTCACCGTCGCGAAGCAGAGGAGCAGAGACAACGCTACGAGGCGGTGCAAGCGCGACATGCAACAGAGATGGAGGAGATACGCAAAGCGGGGCACGATGCGCTGGCTGTCATCGTGGAGGAGTATAAGGTATATTGTAGGGCTGTGCTGAATATTCAACTATTCAAATCAGATTGATCGTTGAATATTCATATGTATTTTGTTGAGGTGAATGAGTTATAATGGAGGAACCCAAAATAAATATTCAATTTTAAGATGGAATTTTGCGTCGGGCCGATCCCGTTAGCTCGGTGATCGAGTGGTAAGACATCTGCACTAGAAAGCAGGAGGTCGTGGGTTCGAGTCCAACAGGAGTGATTTTTTTCCAACTTTCATTCGGGAGGTAACACACTGAGTACACAGTGTTTAAACGGTGAAGGGCAAAATCTAATTCGAAATATTCAATTGATTATTGAATATTCATGTTATTTTGCAGAATATAGAAAGCTTGTGGAAATGGAATATTTGATCAATTCAAATACTTGAAAACATTTGTTTTTGATAATCAGAATATTTTTAAATGATATTCAATTAAATACAAATTTACCAAACCACATTTTTAACATTATGGAATTCTAATAGTTTATTTTTTAATTTGGCAAAGCAAGTGGTACATGTGGTTGAACATAAGAAAACATATTATGGTTAAGCACCGTTGATATATCGATATATCGATTTTATCGATATTGGTTTGATATCGATATCGCCGATGTTAGTTATTTGGTAAAATCGATAAATCGAAAATATCGGACTTTGGAGAAATATCGAAAATATCGAAACTTCAAAAACTTTATTAAAAAATACGAAAGTACATCGTCACGGCTTACGAAGTTACGTTGGTTCTCACGCTGAGTGAAAAATGTCCCTGTAGCTTATATTCCAGGCGGCGTATACGGCGACATTTGAAGAATAAATTCAGTCACCTATCTCAGTCTCGCACTCAAAATTCGAGTACACTTTGCCTCGAAAATATCACCAAATTTATCCTCCAAAACATAGAATTATTTGCTAACCAAACTTACGTAGACTAGCACCACGTGCTGGTGATATCGTTTTGCACGGCAGTGTGTATGCCAGGCCCATCCCATGTAGGCAACGTACGTAATACAGACGCTAGAACCGCAGGCGGTGTCAGACGTGCCAATCAAAAGACCACGTGATAAACGCTGCTAAAAAAATTGGAATCGCACTTACGATCCGGACATGAGGAGTGCCCGGAGCGTCAGTGCGATACCAAATTATCCGCAGCATTTATCATGTGGATCACACCATTACGGTCTAGGGGTGTACCCTTAGAACAATTTACCAGCATTTCCACCGTTTCGGAATGAAAACACCGAATCCCAGCGTCAGATTTGTTTGTGATTGAGAATATATACGTTACGAAATGCCGAGCGGCGGAACTTTCTGTTGATATTTGCTGGAATTCACGGTCTCAAAGTAATGATGAGTTCCAAAATAACCTCTTGTGATGTGTCGTATTTTGCTTAATTTTCATTCTGTTCTGTACTTTCCCCATCCATCAGTAGCCTCTTTAAAACGCACTGTCACCATGGATATACAGTTGCCTAGCAACACCATCAGTAGGAAGTTTGTAGGCCCGCTTCATTGCCCTTCCCATACCAGTACTCAGAGCCCCTTGGTAATCAGTTGCAGTTAAATGTATTCTCCATTGACATCGGTCTGCAAACTCCGCCCTTATTTGCATAATCATAAATATGCATTGGCCACTCTAAAAAACATAATTCGTTGATAATATCGAAAATAACAATGATTGATTGAACATTTCAGACTTTATGTGTACAAAATTGAAGAAACATAGTGCAGAACCACTAATGATGACATCTGTTGCACTATCCTGGACATTTTGGTGCAAAAAATGAATTTCACTTTTTGATACTGTGACTGGAAAGGTATACTGTATGATATATAGATTCCGAAATCACTTCTACACAATTAGGCAGATGCCTTGAAATCTGTAAGTTTAAGGTCTGGTGTTGTCATTGCACATTGACTGCATCACCTGTCGCCTTTGGGGTTCAAGACTTAAAGGTAGAGTCCATCATTTGCAGCCATCCGAAAAGTAACTGGCGTAATTATTGTTGAAAAACTAACTTGGTTGAAAGATAGTAAGGGGACTAAACTCCCTGTGAAATTATTCTTTCTGGGAAGCTGTCATTTTGAAGTAATCAACGAAGGAAGGCATTTCCAACGGTGATTCTTAAGAAGCACCGTAGGAAAATTTAAATTAGTAGTTCGTTTTGTTATTCAGCGCAGCGCGCACAAGTATTCGAACGACGCTTAGCTCGCGCGGTTGTTATAATTCGTCGGATCAGTGCGCGACGTCGCATATAGTTGCAATTCAAAGCAATTCAAAACATGATTCAGCAACTTTTGATTTGAAATTGAGATCTTAGAATGCTGTTTTTCTCAGAATGTACAGCTGAAGCTTAGCTGAAACTTCATCAGGTTAGTTGCTCAGTATCCTTCATTAGATTTTGAACTCTTTTGTTGCTTCAAACGAACAAAATGCACAAATTACAAATGATGGACTGTAGCTTTAATACGTCTCCCCACGCAGATTCGGTGTCGGGGCGTCAGGCCTTATTTTTAAGCGAACGAAAGAGTAGATTCTATGTAATTCATGCCTATTATAATACCTTGAAAATTAAATGTATAAAATATCGATATATCGATAATATCGATATAAAAAAAACGATATATCTTTATCGGCCGAAGCACGATATCGACGGTGCTTAATTATGGTTATCATAAAGTGAACTTTTGTGCATTAGTATAACTGCAGTTCTTCTTGCTTTGTTGACCCAGAAATCCTCCTTCATGTGACAGTGAGTATGCAAATATTAGATTGTAATAGATTCATATATTCAACTTTATGCAGGAATTATGTAAATGTGCAGTCCTCCAGCAGCAGGAAGCCAGTGAGAAGCAGCTGCAGGTTGCCATCACCACGGAAACGGAGAATTGCAAAGAAATCCTGCAAAATCAGGTAAACTTTATTCGGAGGTTACCATTATAATAGGGATAGACCTATCCATTATTAGCTCCGCCCCTCAATGTTTCAACCAATCACAGCCTTGATTAAAGGGGCACTAGGTCCTGAAATTCCCGAAAATTTCATGTTTTGGATTGTTTACTTAGCCTATTTCAAACATCTGGTTGAAAGGAGACCAACGGTAATGTCTTACCGTTCCCGAGAAAAGACGAAAAAAACCTGCTTGTTTACATCGAACACGATGGAGTACGAGTACCTTTTTTGTGTCGTTCTCAGTGTACGCTATACACGTTGTGTGTCTCGGGAACAGCAGTGACCAATCACCAATGCAAAAAAAAGTTTTCTTCAACGTCCGCAAAAGGCGAACACTTTACAAATGAAACCACAACTAGCATCCAAACAGCTTGAATTTATGGGGTCGCAAAAGTGGACCCTGAAATTCGTTCTAGCACGCATAATACAGGAATAACACAAAAATGCCCAGTTTTTCTGATTAACATCATCTCATTAAAAGCGCGTTTTGTAGCCCAATTGGGCTGTTCCAGGACCCAGTGTCCCTTTAATGTGTGACATGCTTGCATGTATGTATAATGCACGTGTCTGGAACTGCAATGTTTTGTTTTGCAGCATGACAGATTAGCAAATGTTCTTGAGGAAGAGAGAAAACAGAATGAAGAGAGGATAAAGACAGCCTTACAAGAACAAGCAGATGCACAAAGGATAATGCTGGAAACCTGCTTGCGAGAAGAAAAGGAGAAAAATCAACTAGAAATAGAAAAGGCCATTCAGGTGGGTAAAAGAGAGTTGTAAAAGAGTCAATCACAAATCAATCACAGATCACTACTAGTCAATCACATGTCAATCACAAGTCAATTACATGTCAATCACAAGTCAATCACATGTCAATCACAAGTCAATCACAAGTCAATCACAAGATGTACATGTCAATCACAAAGTCAATCATATGTCCAGCACAAATAAAACATCAGGCAGTAACAAGTCAAATCACAAGTCAATCCCAAGTCGATCACTAGGCGACCACAAGTCAATCATATGTCAATCACAAGTCAATCACATGTCAAGCACAAGTCAATCACAAGTCAGATCACAAGTAATAGGTATGAAATATGACAAAGTTTACAGCTTGTCACTGAACTTGGAGATTTGTGATTACAACTTTATCAACCTGATTCGATTAAAATCATCATAGTATTTTTTTTTACCTTTTTGGAGTCCCTTGTAAAAGACTTTAAAACAAACCATTAACAAATCGATCTTTTTTTTTCAGGAAGCTCACAAAAAAAGTGAAGCATCTCTCCAGAAGGCGCTAGAAGAGGAGAGGTCAAAGGGCAAGGAGATGCTAGAGGTCCAAAGGTCGGAGGCTGCCAGGTCGTTAGAGGAGGAACGAAATCGCCACCAAGAAACGTTACTACGGGAACTGGAGCAGGAACGGCAAAGAAGCAAGGTTGGCAACATTTATATGCTTGACCAGGCAACCTGCGTCTTGTTTTTGTGTTTGAACAAAGAAAGTGAGAAGAGTTGGTTTTGAATCTACAATCTCTACCAACAGTGTTCTACAAATTGAGCTATGTTGCAGGCATGTGAAATGTCTGCGTTTCATTGAATTTCCGCATTTTTTGTTTCCCCACTCCGCTTTTTTGGCTTTTCCGCCTTCCCTCTTGTCCAAACTGGAAGTGCCTTATAATTTAAAATTGGAAAAAGATGTGAATTTGTTTTCAGCGATGGTAGTCTCTGGCTAGGTTGTACTTCACAAAAAAACTACCGGTGACGTCATAACATGTTAGAGCGCCCTCTACGACGTCACCATACCGGAAATTACAATAAAAAGACCTTTAAACATTAAAAAAATTGCTGAAAAATCAACTGCGAGAGATATCATCCAGATTTTTGCTTCAAATAGCAAATGACGTCATCAAGTATCGGATTAAAGCAACCAAAGATTTCTAGATTTGATCTGTGAAAATCAATATAAAATCGACTGTGAGAGATTTGATTTAGCTTTTGACAGGAATGGACAGAATAATCCAGCGTCTTCATTTTTGATATTACCTGCAAAATCACATGACCCTACCTTTCCGGTCCAAACCGGAAGTGCCTTATAATTTAACATTGGAAAAAGATGTGAACTTGCTTTCAATGATATCAGTCTGTGGCAAGGGTGAGCTTTTTAAAAATCTGACCACTGACGTCATTTATTATTCGAGTGCACTCTGTTGGCAGGTGATCACGGGTCATGTGACGTAGTCTTAAAGGTACATATTTGAAAAATATATCTAAAGAACCATAGGTCCAATTTGCTTGAAACGTTGTACATGAGTAATCAGGAACGTGTTATTGATAAAAAAAAAATCATATTGCGGAAAAGCCCTATCTTCTGTTGCAAACAGACATAGATCTCTGGGGTTTTTCTGCGTTTCTCTGGGTTTTTTCTCGGGTTTTTTAAGTCGGCACGCAAATTTCCTGATATATCGTGTGCCACGCAGATAGGACTCACAAGTCATGCATGAGTAAGGGACCGTAACTATTCAGCCCTGGTATGAAAAGGGCCCCCCGGTACCTCGTCCGGTCCAAAGCCAGTCCGGTCTTCAGCCCAGTCTCGTCCGGTACATGGTCCTGTCTGACCAGAAGTTTTGAAGTCAGTCAGGCGCATCAATTTATTGCCCTTCAGAGAACAGCCAGAGCAGAACAATAGCAGACTTACCGGATTAAAGATAAAATCCTAGTGTTCTATTGTTTAGCGCTGAGAGATGAAAACCACAAGCAGGTTTCTTCTGGGCTATATTACATGTGTCAATACTTGCAAACAATAGACCCCAGGATAGAGGAGTTCCTGATGAGCAACCGGACGAGCTCCTGGGCCGGTAGCTGGGACGGTACGAAAGGACTTCTTGGGAGAGGACGAGCTTACCGAAGGGCCCTTTTCATACAGGGGCTGAATGGTCACGGGCCCTAACAGGCTATACTTGGCACAGTGTGTGTTTTCTGACAAGTTAGTCAGGGACTAGACTAGCCAGCCATACCGTGTGGACAGGGAACTACCGGCCACATGTAGCCATAAAGCCAGCTTGACCCCTGCAGAATGTTGTAAAGGTAAAGGTAAAGGTCCCGTAGCCATTACAGGCCGTAGGGGCAGTGGGATGTTAGAGGTCCACTGTGTCTTGGGCGCGGCATATGAGTGGCGGGGCCCAGTCCTCTCCTCTCGCCGTCTTACCTTCCCTGAACGAATCAGGTACCCATTTTACTGCTGGGTCGTCAGAGAGAGTTTTCCAGTTTTTGGTCTGAATGGGATTCGAACTGCCAACCTTCCACTCTGTAGCTCCACGCTCTAACCGCTGGGCTTAATCTGAAGTTTTCCCTCTTTCTATCCCACTATTCAAAGATTTATATTTTTATCACTATTTAAAGCGATTTGAACATTTACTGGTCTCTCTTCTTTTTGTCAGGAAGCCATAAAAGCTGCATTAGAGGAGGAGAGAAAACACCAACAGGAGGCCATCAAACAAGCCATGGCCAACGCCAGGCAAGGATCCGAGGAATACAATGCAGAACAAAAGCGGGTACGGTGCTCATTTTAAAGAATGTACCATTCCTGCTGTTTTCTGAGTTCCACCCTGAACAAAAAATGGAGTTCTCTTTAAAACTTGTTTTCCCTGTGTTCTTTGATAGGGGTGTGCATTTACGGGTAGTACGGGATCCGGGTATTGGATTGAAAAAAAACGTGGGTACCCAGAGTAGGGTACCCGTTAAAGAAACCCAACCCCAAAATCAGAGTTGTAATGACTCGACTCGAGTCCGACTTGAGTCACAATTTTTGGTGACTCGACTCGACTCAAGTCCCTGAAGGCAAATGACTCGACTCGACTCAAGTCACTGCGAGTAAATGACTCGAGTCGAGTCGAGTCCCTCATGAGAATGACTCGACTCGACTCGAGGAAGGCTAATAGGATTCGAGTCCCAAAAAATAAAAGCAAAACTTTGCAAAAAAAATTTGCAATGACTTACGCCGGTGCCGGTTTTTGTTCACGTCACGTAAGAATGTTCGCAAATAATGTATACATATACATACGTGGTTTGATCAGTGTCCCCATTAGTTGAATGACGATCAGCTGGCACCCCCTTTTTATTTTCATTTAGAGTCAAATGTGGTGTCACCACATGGAGTAGCCCGAATGTAAAATTAAAGAAGCCAAAAATGACCTTCTCTCTTGTGTTTATTTATTGTATAGTGTTCAAATATTTGTGACTCGAATTGACTCAAGCTAAATACAGTCGAGTCTCGTTAATGCAAACTCGTTCGGACCTAGCCAGATTGTTTGTTATATCAGAATTTTGTATTAAGAGGAACATCAGTCCCATTCATTGTGCACATAAATGCACATTCGGGACTAAGGCTTTATGTTTGTTATAACCAGAATTTTGTATTAACAGAGTTTGTACTAACGAGATTCAACTGTACTGGACTCGACTCGACTGGACTACACACTGTGACTCGACTCGACTCGACCTTCTTGACCTAATGACTCGACTCGACTCGAGTCACTTCTTTAAAATGACTTTGCTCGACTCAACTCACAAAAAACAGTGACTCGTTACAAGTTACAATTCTGCCCAAAATTCAAATCTCAGAAGTTGCTGTTCAGATTGTTTATAAAGGTCCGCACATCGGTGCGTCAATTATACAGCAAGATGCAAGTGTGTACAGTGAGCTTATAGCTTTACGATGTAAAATACAACTTTTCAGTTTTTGGGATTGTCTCTGACAAACACAGCTTTTCTGTATCTCGACTTTCTTAAAATGAAAAAAATTTAACACCAAGTTTTCTCTAATTTTTTTTTTTTTTTTAATGTAAAGTTGGACGCCGTTGTACGGCACCGATCCATGGCCAGTCTGGACCTGTTCCTAGAGAGTGCACGACAGCAGCTGAAATCACTTATGGACGACAAACCGGTGGGCAATCCGGTGGACACACCCAACAACAACTCTTCCTAAAACTTACTCATTTCTTAGCGTTTAAAGGTAATTTATCGATATTTCAATTTTTGTACGTGTATATATGAAACTATAGTAAGGTGATGATTTTATGGAAAGATTAGACTTGTTCAGTCCTACAATGGCCAGAAATAGCCCTTATCAGAAAATGGGGAATATTGTCTGCGGCTATGACTATCCCTGTAATATTAAAATGGTAAAAAAAACCACAAAGTTGCAGCCACACATATTCAATACTGACACGGCTTTAGGAATCACCTCAATAAATTACTCCCAGAAGTCTGGTGCCCACAGCTTTGGTCTGGTACCCAGAGTGCTGGTATTGGCTTTGCATGATATTCGTTTTGGGCACACCATGGCGTGAGGCTTTGTGTACTTTCAGATGAACATTAGCTGCGCGTATTTGGTGTCATAATTATGCGCACAAACCAGTGCGGTGCGCGGTGTGTCTTGCATACAACTCTGGTGAGTGGTCATGAAACGCCCTCTATTGTTCGTGCGCAGCATCCATTGGCCATGTAGACTTGTAAAGAGTTACTTGAAATAAAAACAGGAATACGTAATCATGTAGGAAATTGTAAAATCAAATATTCTTTTTTTTATACCATGTACTAGATAGTAGTGCCAAACGAATCCTGTATTTATATGTACATGTACTGAGCCCAAAAAAAAGTCGCAATTTTCAGGCCAGGAAGAAATAGATGGATCCATTATTGTTATTATAAATATTCATTTCTGGTAATGAAACCAAGGATACCTTAAAAGCGCCCTATGCACTGTGGCTCACAACCCTGAAGAAACCTGTAGAGAGGAGACAACGAGAAGGAAGTACAGTTTTAGAGGTGGGAGAAAAACCGAGAATATTCTAAATCTAAGGGAAAACCCACAGAATCAGGTAGGGACTGAAAACCCAATCCACATATTGGTCCAGGCGGGATTCGAACCTGGGTCACAGCGGTGGAAGGCGAGGAGAGAACCACTACCCCAACCTGACTCCCCATTAGACGCTGCCCCATGACACTTGACCAATCACAGCCTTGATTAATGCCCAGCGCCAGTGCGTGCTAAAAAATCCAACATGCGTGCATGCACGTATGATGCATGCGGCTGGAACATGCAGTATTGAGTACGGAAGTGTGACATCATTTTGAACCGGGAAGTGTAGTGCAAACGAATGTAGTATGTGCGCGTGTTGGTTCACGGGCTGAATTATGCGCTAATGTCTTTTATACACATAATTGTGCGCGTGATGTATTCACTTCAGTACTCTATGGCATTGAAGGGGAGCATTTCACGAAATTTATGCCCTGTCCAAAGCATTTGTAGTTTTTGTGTTGCTTGAAAGCAATTCTAGTTGTAGTTGCTTTGTTAAGAACAAAGGAGTGATATGCAGGTTTTGTTTTAAGTTAACATATTTCTGGGATTTAGTGAGTGTATTCATTTATACAATGCAATAGCTTTATTAGTAAAAACTAGGCAAGCTTACTGGTTTCCATTCTGTTCAATTGATTCAGAACAACTATTCACTGGAATTTTTTTCATGTATTTGGTCTACACAATGGGCTAGATTTAGCCCCTTCGTTTTGTGTTTCTCAGTAACCCTATAGGATAGCACTGCCCGGCTCGTGACGGTGAGTCAGTCAGTGATATACATGTACATGTAGTTGCAAGGGGTGTACTAAACTGGCCCACTGGGGCCGGCCAACAATTCTGTACTATGGACTTTTAGTGTGAGTTATGCTTAGTATGCGTAGAGATATACCCATAGGTCATAGACAGGTTTTTTTGCAAGTTGGACAGTGCAGAATTCAATCTGCCTACACTGCGAATCGATTATGCTTCAAATGCAACTGACTTAAATGCACAACATGTTGAGTGCAATGAGGACCTTAAATCTAAAATAGCGCCCCCTAGAGACGACGAGCTGATATATTGGTTCAATGTTAACTGCGCTTTATTTTAATTCTGTCTAATTTAAGTAATGAAGTCCTTTAAGTCCATGTGTTCAAAAAGTCAAAAAAAATCCCTGTAAACCCATCGGGTGAGATTTTGAGATTAGTGCTGTGCTGAAGATACTGATTATCCGGATATTTGTTCATCCACTGTGACCGAATATCCGATTAGCATTTTACCAATTAGAAGATTCAAAAAATGTGAGCTGTCTCATTCGAAAATGCACAGCACTGTTTGGGATTTCTGAATAACATTCTTTTTGGGTATAAAAGTCATAAACTCATTAAAGGGAACATACAACATTTGCTTTTTGCTGTAATTTTCAGAAGTGGATGGATTAGGGGGGTTAGGATTTTATAGCAAATATTGTTACACCGACCTGTTTAAAGTTTTCTTTTCATAGATGCTTAAAAAAAACCCCAAAAAAACTACTTTTCTTGTAGTCTGGTTCCCTGATTCAGACAAAACGGAGCAAGTTAAAGACATCAGAGAGTTGTCAGGTCAGGGAACCGGACTAGCTGGCTTGCACCCGCAAACAAACTAAATTTGGTAAACTTGGGGCAGTATTTGAGTATTTTGACCATCGTTGGAAACCGATACAAAAAATCCACTTTCCTGAAAAAGGTAGCACACCAGGTACCATGATTTCACAGGATGCTTGAGACTATTATTCACTTACAGTCAAGTAAAGTATTTCATAACAATTTGGTAGTTTTGTTTCTTGATGTTTGCAAATGTTGTATATTACCTTCAAAGATTGTAAAATTGGAACAAATATTTATGATTTTTGAAATTAAAACTTATTCACGAAATTTCAAGAGACCAATGGATTTCAAAGCACAACCTTAACGTGTCATTTCCAAAAGTATGTCCTATAAATTGTAGCCTGTATTTTTGACTGATCATAAGTTTATTGTTTTAACCTTTTATTTTTGGAAATGAAGAGGTTAATAATTCTTTTAAAAGTCTGTCACTTGCAAAGAAAGTTCCTATAGGTTTTCTTAGCTAAAGATGTCATAGTGACTAGTGAGAATTTAGATATCCTAGCATGTACCATATTTGCTTTTATACCGATGTACATTATTGCCAATACTGATTTCTCTTTAACTTATATTTAATGGTGGTGATTGTTTTTTTATTGGATGATTCCTGATGCTTTCAGTAAGAGGCAACAAAATTGGCAATATGAATAAAAATGTGTGATTGTACATCTGTGTACAAATGATGAACTCTTGAAATCTAGTGTGTGTGGTTTTCTGCATAGTGTGCATGATTCTGCCAATATTTTTTTCAATTTTCCCTTTTTTTTCATATACTTTATTTTTCTTTTGGTATGTCCAGCCATACAAATTTTATAGTTTCAACATCCACGAATCTCTTTATTTTGCCGATGCAAATGTGTCAAATCAAGAAAACAAATTAACGGTATTTTTCCCCTTAATTCACTTGAAAAAGAAAAGGTTTCTTAACTAAAATACAATGTATTTTGCATTTTGTATGAAACCAAAATGGCTAGTATAAGAAAACTGCAGAGCAGAAGAAGAACAAGGGCGCCCTCAATCTTAAACCGACTTGTCACAATTAAAACGCGTACATGAAATTCTTCCCTTTTTGGTAGAGGGGTCTGTTGTAATTTAACCTTTTTCTCGAATTGAAAGCTCAATAACCTTCCAGATAATTTTCTTTTTAGTACGCTAAAATCCCCGGAACAAATTATGATGAGGTAGAGACATTTCTTGGACAAAGACTCTAAAGTTGTTTCAAAGTCGCTGAATGAGGAATTAAGCTAATTGAAATGGAAGAATTCAAATGCAAAAGCAAAACTTCTTTTAAGCCTTAACAACAGGTAAGACTTGATCGGCTTTAGGCTTCAACAGGCCATATTCTTGAGCGAATCAGGTGCGATTGTAGTTAAGTAAGGTACTTAGGCCTAAGTTTGTTCTTTGCTATATCTAAAAAAAAAATACATTTTTTTTATAATCTCTACTAGATTTAAGAGCAGACTAAAACCACTTCAATGAACGGTATTAGTGTTTGAATCCAGAAAATGACACACTCATTCTTTGAATAACAATACGGCCTATTTCGTTTTCGTCTTCAGTGTGGTTGCACTATATGACCGTGAAAGCTCGAAGGGTGTAAAGTTAAACAAATTTTAAAAAAAAATCCCCTTCCATTTCTCCCATTTATTGAAACATTGTTTTCATTTTCAAAGAAAATTGCTGCGAAGGACATGCAGAAATTTTCACTATGTGACTAAGTGAACAAGCATTACATTCACTGTGTGGACTTCCGAACAAAAGATGTCCACATAAACCAGGTAGTAGCCACGTTGTGTGGACTTGCCCAGGCATTTTGGATTAGAATTATCTGTGGAAAAAATGAAGAGCAATACTAAAGGGAATCATAAAAAAAAAATTGGGCTGAAAGAGTCTTCACAGTGTGAGTGAAATGAATTTTTCACAGGTTTTTCTTAACTACACGAAAACAAAAGAATGTCCACACTATATGTAACGTAAAACATGTGTTGAAGGAGTCAAATCCGTCGGACCTAACTAGGGAACCGTTTCCAAAAGAATTTGTTTGAGGTTTTCTTGCAATTGTGGACCGTAATTTTTCGGCCGCGTCGGGAGGGGTCATTTTGGGACGGAGACCACCCCCCCCCCTCCACCTCATCCAAAACACACGGCGCATCTGCGTACCCAAAACTTTGTGAAATTTACATATTTTAGAGGATTTTCCAATTGCTCCAACTTTCCTTGGAGCAAAAACCGCTAGGTCTCCAGGATAAACGTGCTGCTAGCTTTCGGCTCTCTTCGACACAAGCTCCGATTTTTGTTTTGTTCAGTCCAGATGGACCGTTTTTCACGTTTGTGCAAGAACTTTTACAATATTTTTTTAGTATCATTCACGGCCTCATTTTACGCATCTCCGGTCCGGAAAACCCGAGATTGCGCATCCATATTCATTTCAAAATCAACAGAATGAAGGTCTTGTAAGGGGAAGTTCCGGGTATAAAAAAATAATAATAAGGAAAGACACAAAGAAAAGCATAAACACGGATACAGCTTTAATCATAAATATTTTTAAAGCAGGGCGTGTGGCGAAAACAATCGGACACATTAGAAGTATTGTCTTGAATTTCTTCAATATAGTTTATACAGGGAGCAAGTTTGTTGCCTCCGAAAACAGAGAGCCCTTTATGATAATTATTAAAGCAGTGTTATGGCCATATCCAAATTAAGTACAGTTTTCAAAATTCCATAATCAGTACGGTTACATAACTGGGGTCGGGTTTGCACTTGGAGGGGCCTTAGGGAGGGGCTGGGCTGGTTTTTTTTTGGGGGGGGGGTGGGGAGGCACACAATGGCTTTTAACAATAACTTGAGCTCCTTTTTACTCTCCCCGAATTCCGGGGGGCGGGGCACATGTCGCGAAGGAGGAGGGGCGTCGTTCCCCAGGACCCCTAGAATTATATCAAAAGTGATCATCTACTTAGTACTAGTCACAAGTTAAGTCACAAGCTGATCTTTGACACAAGCATTCCTTTTGTTATTGTGCACTCCCTGTTAGACCTACTGGTGATCGGACTTGTTGATGGACTTATGATTTACTTGTGACTGGACTTATAATGGACTTATGATTTACTTGCGATAAGACGTATGACGGATGGACTTATGATTTACTTGTGATTGGACCTATGATGGACTTATGATCGTACTTGTGACAGGACTTATGACGGACGTATGATTTACTTGTGACTGGACATATGACGGACTGTGACTAGACTTAATATGACGGACTAATGATTTACTTCCGACTGGGCCTTTGATAGAATTGTGACTGGACCTATTACTTGTGACTGGACATATGATGGACTTATGATTTTACTTGTGACTGGACTTATGACGGCCTTGTTTGCTTGCGAATGGACGTATCACGGATGGACTTATAATTTACTTGCGACTGGACCCATGACGGATTTATGATTTACTTGTGACTGGACCTATAATGGACTGATGATTTATTTGTGACTGGACTCATGATGACTTATGATGTTGTACTATTTCTGTTTTCGGGTGTTTTATTGCCATTTTATTCGCCACATTCATTTCTATTACCAGGGTGGCATATTTCATCCCCTTTTCTTTTAAGTCAAATCTTTCCAAGCAGACTGATGTGTAGATATTTTCGGTCACGTGATGGACGGAGCCAGTCTAAAAAGTAGGAGACTCCCCGACGGCAAAAATGAGCCACAGACATTTCTATGGTGGCCATGAAGGGACATGAAGTGATGTGAATTTTTCTCAACAAAAACGGTAAGGCACGGATCATTTTTATTGGCAACCATTAAAGCGTTGGATTCTAAATTACATCAAAAATGTCAAATGCATCATATAAACCTTTAAACAAATAATGCTATGCTTGAAAACCAAATGCAATGTCAAAAAAAAATCTTTTTTGAAAAGTCATACAAAAAATGGATGGTATCGTATAAAAATGCAACCAGAATGACCCGTTTTTTTGTAATACACAATATTCTGTAGTAAGGCCTCCATGTTTACAACAAATAATAAATAAATAAGTAAATAATAGGTAGCTCTGTCTTTTTTTATCTGTAAAAACACGAATGGCTAACAATTAAAAACTATTGTCCAATTATTACTTTATTCATAAAATGTCTTGCGTTGAAATGAAATACAATCCATTGCAACCTGGGAAAAATAAAATCAGCGACGAAAGTACCCCAAAGCATCATTATGGTTAATTATTCACAACAGTAACTTAATTATTCATTATGTCCACTAGAAAACGACAATGCTTTTTGATAAATTGCAACCGCAGCCGCGTAAGACAGTGGCGAAAGCCCTGCGCGCGGGGGAATACCACACGATAGCCACATCACACACACGCATCGTGCACATAATGCGGTCCTAAATGACACACGAGGAGGCCTTTGTGACGAGGCTGAAAACACTATTGAACGATCGGCGTGCGAACAATAATAAAAACCCATCCACAAACCTGTCTGTGTTTTCATGGCTTTTTATGCGTGAACAGTCCCGATTCTAGACCAGTTGAGTGGGTGCATTGCATATAGCGGTGATTTTTTAACGGCCCGGGATCCTAAGCCGTCAACAACTCGACGGTGATTGTTGGGAGTCTAGCTGCGCAGCGTGATCGTCCTAGGTTTTCCCACGGGGAGATCGCGCGTTCTTGCCCCCGGTCGACAACCCCTGCGTACGGTGTGTGCAACACGGTTCACGGACAAGATGTGCTGCTCCTGCGATGCCGGCACGGCCGTGTTTTGCTGTAAATACATCCTAGTCGTCACGACGTGTATAACAAATTTTGTGAGTATTGGCTGTGTTATTTTATCAATGATTATACAGATCGGCTACCTAGCTGTCAGACATATTTTGACTATCGAAATCTTAATCGATTGGTTTACTTCCTGGATGCGTCTTAGATTGATTTCAATGTGTTCATTGTGTGTACGTGTGTGCACGCACAATGTATATTATGTACAACATGTACATCCCTCTTCATAATGTATGTATACATTGTACATGGAGGTAGGAGTAGACCATGGGTAATCTGTGCTTGTAGGCCTACTTTGCATTTTCATACTGTGGAAATAGTACAATTAACCTTGATTTTGATATATACATAAAACCACTACTATACTGCTAGCTGCTGTATCGAGGACTGAGTCATACTCCTTTTATTTCGTGTACCGTCGTTTTTTATACAATCGAATGAGCATGTGAAAATTGTGAGAAATTTCATAGAAGGATTTCGGTTTAAACGTAAATCATTACTTGGTACATCTTTTACTTGCAATGCAGTGATTTCAATAAATTAACATCGTTTTGAAACCCACAATTCCAATTCTAGATGAATTTGTTTAAAGTAAAAATTTCATGGTCTAAATAAATCGACTGTGAAATTTGTGAATGTAACGACAGTCTGGCAAAAACATGGTTTCCAGATGTGTGACCATGGCCTGTATATTGTAAGTTGTTCCATATGCTGTCGCTGTGTGTGCATATTTTGGGTGGACGTGTATAATTTATATAAAGCCTAAAAACCTATTGTATGGCTTTGAATATGTACACAGACATGATTCGGCGTCCCGCATTTTTTACGACAGAGAGTAAATGTTTACACACGTGTGCATATGTGGGAACGGGTCCTATTGACGGCCGAGTGCAAACGCAACAATTTCATTGCTTATTTACATGACCCCTAGAGAAACATTGACAAAACCTTTCTGGGGAGGGGACACATGCCCAAATGCATTGTTTATGTGTCCCGTGTCACAGTTGGCGCGGTGTTGTAGCAACCATCAACCAGTGATAAATACCCGTCAAGTTCTTCGTGTATTGACATTTATATTTTATCAGTTTCTATGGCTTTGCTTTGATTGTTTTGTGTATTGAATATCGGGTTGCAAAATCGCTGATGTGATGGACTATCATTAAGCTTAGTTGATGGATCATTGACATTTTGATCAACTTGTTTTGGTGACTGAAGTGAATATGATCGGTTATATTTATTACAGTAGCTTTGGACCAATTTATTAAAAATAAGATTAGATAGAAAGGCCAATAGTTCAGTGATTGAGTTTATGATGTTATACAATAATTTATAGGCTACAGACAGTAACGGATCAAATGATTGATCAATTGATTGATAGGGGATTTATTGATGTTTATTTGTTTAATCAATAAATCTATTCAAAATATATATGTAATAAATAAATAAGGCCGACAAAAAAAATTATTTCTTTTTCCAAGATGGCTGATTTTCCAAGATGGCGGATGAATTCTTCAATTTTCTCGACTATTTAGCTGATACAAAATTGTGTGCTGAGGAGCCAAAGCGTTTTCTACATAGCTACGATTTTGTTGGAAACAAATAAACAGACAATATATTGACAATATTATGTGCAAAATGTATTGCAAAAGAATAAATTAACATAATGATTGACATTTTTTTAGCCTTTACAAAGTAAAAGCCTTTACGCAAGTTTTTTTCTTGTTTAAAAAAAAAAAAATAATCAAATGTCTTTTCTTAGAATTCATATAAAAAATAGAATATTCATTTCCAGATCCATCTGGCATTAATGAATGGTTATTTTTATAACATCAAAAGCTTTGTATCATCAGCTGTTATCGACTGTTTGCAAAGGTTTTGTGTTGCTTAATTCACGTGTTCAAAATCTGGTAATGGCGCGTGCATCATGCCATTTGTGCTGTTGTTTGTGAGTCTATTATGTTGTATTGTGGTCCACCGCATAATGTAGCATTGGGTGGACTTTTTTTCAAGAGGTTGGGGTTTTTTCATGCGGAGCACGGGAATGGCCAGCGGCCGTGGCGAGGCCTTTGACCCGTGGCGTACGGCCTTCATTCTGGCATCGACCCGCTGCGTGATCGATGGTCCGTCGGTCAGACGTTGTAGGTCCAATTTCATAGCGCTTAGAAAATGTCGCTCAGAAAATGTATGCAAAAAGTAATAACTGGCTGAGAAAAGAAGCCAATTCTATGCATAGATTCTAAGCACAGAAATACGTTACCACTAAAAGCACCATGCGACGTAAGCCTATAGGCCGAGTAAAAAAAATAAGTAGTTTCTCGACCGGCCTTTTTAAAAATATGAAGGAGGCGGGCGCTTTTTTGTCTTCTTCTTGTTTTCCCCCCAAGATGGCGGCATTTCCAAGATGGCGGATGCATTCTTCAATTTTGTGGAATATTTTGCTGATGCAAACTTATGTCCAAAGGAGCAATACCATAGCTACAATTTTGTTGGAAACAAATAGAAAGACAATGTATTGACATTTGACAATATACATGCATGTGCAAAATATCTTGCAAATGTATGAATATTAAAAAAAAGGAGGGGCCCAGAAAAAAAGGGAAGCGGGCAGGCCGAAAAACTGGTTTAATTTTTTTACCTGGCCACATAGCTTTACAACGATTTTAGCCGAGTAGTATCTTTATAAAATTAAAAATTGGGGACAAAATCGTAAGTGTTCCTTCTCTTATTATTTATTTTAACTTAAGGGAAATTTTTTTTATATAGGCCAAGGCTTAACAATTTTGTGTGCTTCTTACTAATATTAATTCACGCGTGAATTTACTTAATATTTTATTCAACCCTTGCCGAAGTTAGACATGCCAAATTCCGACAACTTTAGATCAAACATTTGCCACATTTTGTGACCCAGTAACCAAAAAGAATCCTGTGGAATTTAAGGTATTTTCCTCGCCAATAACCACGGGTTCACCAAAGTTCATTTGTTTATGTCCTTTATTCTCTACCGCATACCGAAACCGTGGAAACACGGGTTTTTTTATTTAAAAAAATGCCTATCGCCCTGCCGGTCACGCATGCATGCACTTAAATGACTTCCGTTAAAATTACTTCCCCCGCCATGTCAGCTCAAATACTTAGCCGGGGGAAAATCGGATATCGATGTTGCTAAATCATTCACTGAAATGTGTATTGTTGTGCTTGTATCCTTGTACACGCTGTATAGGCCTAAAGGGTAATATTGTATGTGTGATATTTTTTCAATGGCGCATGTGTTGAAAGCTCCATTCAATTTTCACACAGTTTGCAATTTCTCATGTTTAAACTACAGTCAGATTCTACCTCAAGGCATGTATTGCAGGGCGTAATGCTTGCGATCCTATGCGCGATAAGCAACCACAACTACCTCAGTCGAATGTGTTCTAGCCTAAGGGGAGTATACGCGTGTTAAGAACTCATGCTTTTAATAATTAATATTAGGCTGCATCCGAATCAACTGTCTAGAGCTAGGTCTAGGTCTGCGCCCATTGAAAATACGCGGGGACACGCCGACAATAGACGTAGCCGTAGCTCTGGAAGCCCGTTTCGGACACGGCTTTTGCGTAGCTGCATCTATTTCGTTTACGTGTTCTGAATTCTCAAAACATAAACAGACAACCTCAAAATATAAACAGTATGAACATAATTATTCTTATCTCAGATTTTATCATAGTTTATACGGCTTCGAAGTTTATCTGTGGAGCTATTTTCCCCGGCCATTTATGGTCTGTCATACACCATGCACCTTTGCCACAATATCGAATAAACATCTGGTCGAAGTGTGTATCGTTGCATTCCAATAAAAATCCACCTCGCGCCCGTTTTCTAGTCTTGCTTCAAGGCGTTGCTTACATAGTCGTGTTAACCTTACGTGTGTGCCTAACGCCACGCAAGTCTGCTCTAAATAAAAACGATTAGAAATTATGAGGAACTCTAGCTCGTGACTTTGCCAATTTTTTTTGGACCCTATATTTGCAGCTTTCAAAGAAGCAGTAATGGCGAAAATTTGATGATTTTTTTTATATAGATTTATTTGTAAAAAAGCAAATTTCAGAAACACTTAGGCCTAAAAGTATAACAAATAACGCCTTGATACAAGCCATATGCCGCTTGCGTTGACGATTTTTTTCCGCAATGCTGTGCCATAGCGTCTGGTCTAATAATTTATTAAACAAAAACAGGCCAGACATCTCCATATTTATGGTCTGCATCGATTGCAGAAAGCTGCATTAGAAAAATGTTTTCATTGCACTTTTCCTCGGGCAAAGAAATTAAACGTCCTTGTTGTAGCGCCGTGGTACAAGCAAAAGTAAAATGCATTTACACTGTTAATAAGAACAAGAAATTCATGACATTTATGAAAAACGTTCAGGGAGCTTATGTAGTATATTTCCCGAGGAGTGTAATCCAAAAGGCCTTGGAATTTCCCGCACTGGGATAATAAAGTTTTATTGTATTGTATTGTATTGTATTGTATTGTACAGCCATGCGATAATGTATTTACTTTGAAAGCATGAATGTAATTTGCAAGGCATATGCAAGTACATGTATGTAAGCCCCCCCCCCAAAAAAAAATAGTTCTGCTTTCGATTACATGACATTTGAAAATAGGGTAGGTAGGTAGGGGGGGGGGGGGAATTCGCCAATTCTTTTTTGTGTACAATCATATGGAGGTGTCTGCGTGTAGTCAAGGGTGAAAGGTAGAAATTGACGGTTTTGGGGTGTTTTCTTCTCATTTTTTCCCCTAAAAAAAATTAGGGTAGGGGTTGTCAGAATAGGGTAGGTAGGGAAACCGGAAGCAGAACTATTATTTTTTTGGCCTAAGCACACGGCATTATCCTATAGACTTATGACAGAGTGGTTTTTTGTTGATACATCTTAGGAAAACCTTTTCGTGCTAGATCGACCAGCTTTTCCAATATACACAGCCTTCATATTTGTGATATACTATCATGTATACTCTCCTTGACTTGTCATATTTCCCGTAGCATAATTTCCA